CAGCAGCCAGGCTTATTAGTGGGGTGAGAAAATTTCAGCATATCTCCCCCACTCTGGTTGCACTGCACTGGTTACCTATTCGTTTCCGCATTGACTTCAAAGTGCTAATGATCACATATAAAGCCCTTAACGGTTTGGGACCTCAATATTTGGCAGATCGCCTCCTCCCACCCAGATCTACCCAAATCACCCAATATAGCCAGCGGGGTCGGCTGAGGGGTTTGATGCCGAGGGAGGCCTGGAAGGAGAAAACAAGAAACCGGGCCTTCTCAGTGGTCGCCCCTCAGCTGTGGAATACACTCCCCACTGAAATTCGGCTGGCACCCTCGCTAGGTGCTTTTAAAAGCCAACTAAAAACCTGGTTATTCAAACAGGCCTTCCCCCCAGTCAACTAAGTTATTTTTTCTTTCCTTTTCTTCTGTTATTTGAGTTTTAGCCATCTTGAATAATATTGCTTATAATTATTGTATTATATATGTTATTTATATGTTCTTTTAATTTGTTTTAGCCTATGTAAGCCGCCCCGAGTAGACGCTGTCTAGAGGGACGGGGTAAAAATCAAATAAATAAATAAATAAATAAATAAATAAATAAATAAATAAATAAATAAATAAATAAAATAAAACTACTCTCCTCCGCCTCCTCCGCCGCCTCCTTCTCCTCCAGTGCCACTTGCTCCAGGATTTGTCTCTTTGTGTGGACACTCGTAGCAGCATAACAACTCCCTGAAACCTCCTCTAGCATCCTGGGAGTTTGGGATCCTCGTCTGCCATTGTCCACCCTGTGTGCCATTGAGGGGGGAAATGGAATTGGGGAACTTGTGATGCATGTCATGCGCTGGGGAGAGGCCTTGAAAATGGAGCATGCAAAAACCTTTGCACAAGTTTTGAAAATATTTAAAAGGATTAAAAGAGTTGTTTTTTGGAAGGAGGGGAGAACAGAATTTGAGAGGAGTCAGCTAAAGAATCAGACTTGTTGAAGCAGGTGGAATGTATAGATAAATTTTGTTACTGAATTAAGGCAGGTTCATAAATGGTTCTCTCTCTCTCTTTCTCTCTTCAGGAGGGGCATGGGTAGCAGGATATTAAGAGGCACCATCCCTGTTACAGTCTGACATGGGCCCTGTTTTAACTCCCCTTATTATTATTTATGTACCATCAAATCAAGTCTGACACATGGAGACCCTTTTCAGGGCACCCCCAGAAGAAGGGTTTTCCCGGGACTGTGCAGCTTGTCTAAGGCCACACAGTTTTTCTGGGATGCACAGTGGGGGAATTGAACTCCCAACCTCTGGCTCTGCATCCAGATACTTAACGTATCTACAATTATCCAGCCAGTTTTAACTCCCATGAATATACTGTGATTCAAATTTAAACGGCATAGACCCAGTTAGGGACTGGTAGGGAAAATCCCTCTGGCTGATTCACTACTTTGCAGAACTGCTTCACGGTACAAAATCATTCAGTTAAAACCTGAATGCATGGATTCAGCGGGCATGCGGTAACACTAACAACATGTCTTCCAAGTCACCTAACTGAACAACTTTTGAACCTCCACGTAATAGTCCCTGAGCCCAAAGCATGGGCTTATCCTCAGTTTTTATGAGGTAGTAAAGAAGAATGCATCTGGCCATGTGCAGAATAATGTTTTGTGCACTGTGTAAATTCATTCACCACTCCTGTGAGTTTTAGGATTTCTAGGTTTGCACATAGGACTCCCAAATACCTTTCAGCCTTCGTGTTTATCCTCTGAGAAACCCAAAGGCTAGTCCAAGCCAAATTTGCTAGGGAGATGCAGCTACCCCCCAAACAGCTGTCATATGTACAGTATAGCAGTTCAGAGCATGTGCCTTGAGTGAATCACCAAGACCCTTGTTCAGGTATCCTCAGATGTGAGCAAATTCAGACTCAAACTCTGTCTGTATAGTGGGGCTATTACTACACTCGCAAGCCTTTCATGGTTGTTCTACGTATGACTGAGATAATGTATCCACAGATTTTAAAAATCTCTTTTTCTTTTTCTAGCCCTTAGATAAAGCATCTGAAGAAATGTTACTGAACTGCATGTAATGATTTTTGGGTCCTAGGGCCATACTCTATTTACAACAATGCATCCACATTCTAAATCAGAGACCTTCCTCCCCAAGCCTAGACCTGACCTTTCACTCAACACAGCACCAAAAAGCTTCAGGATCCCACTCCCCTCCCCTCCCCAACCCACCCTGCTGGTTTGACAGTGCCAGGAGTGTAGTTTTTGCCCAGAACTACTCCCCCTCCCAGCTGTTCGTCATCCCTTCAAATTTGTGCAGGACTCACGTGTAATGCCCAGCCGCACCGTGGTACATCCAGGGGGCACTGTAGCCTTGTCCAGTCCACAGCCCTGCTTCCATGGTGCTTCGGCTGGAACAAGAGACGGTGTTAAATTCAACAAGGGGTAGGTTCGTTTTCTTGCAGACACGAAGCTGCCTAGAATCTCCTGGACTCAAACATTCAAACATTGTCTTGGTTGCCGGGACATCTAGCAGCCGCCAGAGCCCACTGCATTAGATCGGGGTGGGGGGGGGAGAGAGAGACAGCCTGGGAGTGTGTTACACCCACACACCACATGCAGCAGAAGACAGCCTGGTTCTTTGTGCAGGTAGTGAGGAAGAGGGAGAGAATTCCCAGCAGCACAACTGAGGGTGAGGGTCATTCAGTGGAACAGGCTGTTTGAGGACAGCACTCTGTTCTATATACAGAGCCCACCCCCCGTGCATAGTATCCTTGCCGCCACCAGCTTCTGCAAGAACAGTCACGCAGCAATAGCTACACAAGACACGACACAGCACCCAAGCAGACACAGAAACATATGCGTGTGTGTGGTGTGCATGTGCATGCGCGTGCACACAGAGAAATGCTGCCTGGTCTCAGTGTTGTACACACGGAACATGCATGTGTGGCTTTCACTCACCACCTCGCGCACAGGACAGAACCCATCTTAACCCTGACTCTGCCTCCTTCGTATTTTTCCCATGAAGCCACTTTCCTTCCCGTGACAAATTATGGGAAAGAGAACACCAAGTGTTTTAACTCTTAAATGTTTCTTGCTTCCATTTTATAGTTTTGTAGGTGTTGTGCTGTTCTCTTAGCCATTTTAGCAAGTCGTGGTAGCTTCAGAAGTTGATTATTAGACACTGGACATGCCATTTTTCAATTTGCTGTTTTAACAAAGATTTTATTGTCATTTGTTTTATTGAATTGTTCTGTTGTTTTTCCCCTCTGCGCCCCCTGTAACCTGCCTTGTAATACATCTTTATAAAGGCAGTATCTCAGATAAAATAAATGTACAAAATTGGGCGATAATTAGATAAGGGGAGGTTCCTTTGCTCTCAGGCCTAGCCGTACTGCTAGGTGTCACAGAGATACAAGTCTGTGTGCCACTCACCATACTCAGCGTTCTCCCAGGAGTTTGTTGTACTGAGTCATGAGCCCTACGTCTGTATAAAGTATTGTGCAAAATTCAACTGCCACTAACCATGAGCTGCAGCATGTCTTGTCAGCTCTTTGGGAAAGGCTATCGTTTAGTTAATAATTGTAAGATTTGCATGCAAAAGGATGCAGGTTAGATACCTGGCATGTCCAGGTAGAGCTGGGAAAATGCTCTTGACTGAAACAAAGAGCCTCATGGCACAGTGGTTAAACTGCAGTACTGCAGTGAAGACTCTGCTCATGACCTGAGGCTCAGGTAGCTGGCTCAAGGTTGACTCAGCCTTCCATCCTTCCAGGGTCAGTAAACTGAATACCCAGCTCACCAAGGGAGAGGTTGAAATGTGTGGCCTGCATAATTAAATTAAAAATCACCTCCCAAAAGAGCTTTAAGGACCATGGAGCAGTATATAAGCAGCATGCTATACCCTGGTGCCAGTAAATGTAGGCAAAGCAGAACTACGTGAAAGAGCACTTTGGCCTGGTTTAAGGCACTGGCAGCTTCCTATGTTCCTTCTTAGTTATTGATCCGGTGTAGCAGGAGAAGGAGGTACACCCATTCTAGTAACACAAACTTTAAAAAGAATTTTAATAACTATTGAACACAGCAAATAGTTGAGGATTTAGCTCATCCTTATATTTCTAATCAGCCTTTGGGGCTTCTGCACAAAGTATCAAAATATATTGATCTACCTCTGATTAGTGAGGTTCAAAAGCCAATTTTTTTGCAGAAGACTGAAAAACCCAATATCTAAGGAGGATAGGATTAAAAGAGCTTGGAAAACTTATTTTTGGACTACAGCTCCCCAAAACACTAAGATATTTGGGTCAATATCCACAATAGCTGGAAGGCTATAGGAGTTGTAGCCCCTGAAAGTAACTTTTCCAAGCTTTGAAGGTTTTCAGTTCAGAGGACAGCAAGGCACTAGAAGGGCCAACATCATGAGTGAGTCATCTGCCAGTACCCGCTATCACAACAGGAAGCCAACCCCCAGTCACTACAGCTGTCTTGCTCTGCTGTGTCTTTTCCTGGCCATGAACCTCTCTGAACTCTGTCAACCAATCACAAGAGCAAGGAGAAGGATCAGTGATTTCCATATAACCCACTTTTGACTTCCTTGCACCCTCCCCCTCCCCCTGAGAAGCAGTGGAGAGTGAACTCAAAGGGGGAAAGTGAACTCAAAGGAGGAAAGTGAACTCAAAGTGGGAAAGTGAACAGGCAACAATAGCAAGGAGGAGGAGGAGGAGGGAGGCCTTAAGAGTATAGTTCCTCAGGGTTTTCAAAGCCAGTTGTGGGCTTCAATACTTTTGATAGTGGCATTGAGGGAGAAATATTGATACATGCACCTGCTCAGACCACGTTGGTTGAGGAGACCCAACAGCCTTGAGAGAGAAGCTGGAAACCTAGAGTGGGTTGTGAAGTGAGCTGAAAGGGCTGGAGGAGGACCACGAAGCAGCTCAGACATGTTCTTAATGGGACTGGAGGAATTCCACAGCCTCCATTCCTCCGACGCCCAGCCCCATCTTCATGTTGGAGACCACGGATCTCTTCCACTTCCTCCATCTATTATGCTGAAGCTTATTCTCCAGAAAACGCACCAGATAAATGCAAGCTCACCCTCCTCTCTTTGCGTCACCCCCCCAACCAAGTTTCTCAGTAAATGAGAGAGTTCAGTACAACTCCCACGCTAACTCCAAGCGAAACCTAGCAACTGAATGCAAGCATGGCAACTGCATTGGCAACCGATGGCAACAATGGGGGTGGTTCGCAGAGTTGCCTGTGACACAACCCTGATTTATTATTTGGGGGAGGGTGGGAAACAAGAGAGATGAGATTTTGCAACCTTTTGTTCCTACCCCATTCCTCCTGATACAGCCCTGGCCTGGGTTGCGGAAGGCCAGCACATAAAAATCAAAAGCAGAAGCGCGCTAGGTTATTAATAAGCGGATGTATATTATAAGATGACTAAACAGGTGAAATTGTACTTTGGTCGTATCATGAGAAAACAGGATTCCCCAGAAATAGCAACAATGTTAGGAAAAATAAAAGTCAGTCTGAAAAGAGAAAGACCGAACATAAAATGGATCGACTCAATATAGGAAACCACAAGTTCACATGATCTGTTGATGATGGGACCTTTCATAGGTCATTAATTTGCAGGGTCACCAACAGTCTGACGTGGCTTAATGGCACATATCCTCACTTTTGTATACACAGGGCTTTCAGAATTCCACTGAAATCACTCCCACAACAATTCTGAAAGGCACACCACTTTGTTATTTCACCAATGGCTTACCCAAGGATTAAACCCCCTTCAGTGTTCTGGTTCACGTTAAGTACAGCTCTTTCTGACACCGAAGGGCTCATTCAGATGAAACATTTGTTCTGTGACACTTATCTGATTGACTCCCGAAGTTTCCAGGTTTCCTCCCTTCATCCAGACTGTACCTTACACCAGTATTAACAGGAATTAGGTGGAGAGTTTCAGCCAGTTTCCCTGACATTTTCTCCCTTCTCAAATTTGTCCACTGTTTCTGTTGTTGTTTCTTTCTTTCAGTTTCCCTGACATTTTCTCCCTTCTCAAAATCTGTCCACTGTTTTTGTTGTTGTTTCTTTGTTTCTTTGTTTGTTTATTCGATTTATATCCCACCTATCTTCTTCTTGTTGTTGTTCTGCTTCTCTTTTGAGCCAAAACTTGCCCTTTAAAAAAATCCTACTAGAAATGACCCAGCACTTATAGGCTATGGTGATGGTTGGCATTAATGTTTCATTATGGCTCTTCCAAAATAAAAACAAAAACAAAAAAGGAAGATATAGTGCAGATCAGAGGCAATGGCAGCACAGAGAGGTGTCATATAATGATTACACAGGGATAAAGGAACAAGGGGAACAATTAATGCCAACCATCACACATCAGGATGCAAGCCATTGAAATTACTGATGACGAGAAAGCAGGAAAAAAAAACAGTAATTATCAGAACAAATGCCCCATCTGGAGGAGCCCTAGACTAAGACTCCTGTGGGTGAGCAAATAGTGTCTATATACCAGTATTGGTCCCGCTATTCCACTGTGAAAAATATTGGTGCTCACAGCCCAATCTGAAAGCCTCTGGGCAGCGGACTCTCAAAATATGGAAGTAAGATGAAGAAGAGAAGAATAAACACATGAGGCTTTGCACAGTGACAGTGGTGGGAAAAGAAATTTACAAGGGTGAAAGCAAACAAACCAAAGAGATGAGCTCCTCCAGCTGTTTGCATGAGGACTAGCAGCATCCTCCATCCAAGAATCATGTCTACATTTCCCTACAGTAGAGCTAGGAAGTTTTTACACCTGTCGTAAGTCTATACTCCAGACACAGTTTACAGAAATCAAAACATTTTATGCAAAAGAGCCAGTTCAGAAACACCAGCCTATTAGCCGAATAGGGGCCACATGAGAAGATGTATATTTCATAGGAAACCAGGGGTAGGACTCACCAGATGATTTGGACTAGATGAAGAATTTGGAATAGCTCTTTTTTTTGACTGCAGCTTCCAGGATCCCATACTTTTCACTCTGCTGGCTGGGGCTCCTGGGAGTTGAAGCTCCTTGTAGGCACCAACAATCTGATCACACTGACCCCCATCTTCTGAAGAAAAGTGTATGTCTGGATTTAGATTTACCCACCCTTTTACCACCACCCCCCAGCATCTGCAAAAAGCAAGTGTTTGACAGGGAGTTTGTGGCAATAGCTGGCTCTTTAAAGAGTGGACAGCTGGCAGACCAAATGTAGCGAAGGACCTTCGCTGCACTGGCCTAGGTGATTGAAACGAAGATTTTGCCACAAGCAACATTCATTTCTTTGTATAGAAAACAGAACCAGCACCACAGAAATCCTGTAAGCATACCTATTAAACTGCACCAGGTCTTTGCGTCTATGATGTTGAAGTCCAGCCTTGTCACACCCAGTATCACAATCCTGAACACTCAATTTCATCAGTTCCAAATCTGTTGACAGATCTGCTCTTTCTTTCCATGGTCACCGATGTCCCAGGTCTCCTGTGTTCCCTGACACAGAACAGGACTGGCAGTCAACAGAGTCCGACATCTAGCTACTTGCTTCACATATCATCTCAGTTCTGTCCTCAGGCAGCCTCGGACACGTGGCATATAAAGCCCAAGGAACCTCAGATGATGGGCACAGCCTTAACCATGGCCTGCTTGTCCCACTCCTACCCATCAGGGAATGTGCTGTGTCAACAAGAGGAGGAGGTGAGTGGAGGGACGGGGCAGCAAGACTTGGTGGCAGCTACATAGCATTATGGTCAGAATCAGAGAGATGGGATACCAATGCACCTCTATGGTGTAGGAGGGTCACCCTCACAGAATTGGCTGTATGGTAGCAACAAAGCTTTTAGGTGAGCAGCTTCCACATTCCATTATGGAACACTATATCCCAGGCCTATTGAGCTAGAATTACTGTAGCAACACCCCCGCCCTTCTAAATAGCTCTCTGATCCAGGGACAAAGAATGTGTGGTCTTCCATCATCCTTTACCATTAGGTATGCGAGTTAGGGATGATGGAGCTTGCAGTCCAATAAGATCTTGAGGACCACAAGTTATGTACCTCTGGTCTAATCCTTGTAGCCAGCCATGCTTACGACCTTTTGAAACATCATTACCACTATTCTTCCTTCAAAACTCTAGTTATTTAACTGCCTCCTATCCTACCTTGTACTACTAGCTCATATTCTTCTCCAAACCGTAAACTTTGCCTCAAATGTTTTTGTACCCTATAAAACATGTCGCTTGAATCCAGTTGGTACTTCCAGTTAAAGTAAATCTATTGGAAAAAAATGTATTTACATAAATGTTGATGCACCATTTGGCAACTGATCCAATGGGTTTACTCCAATCGGAGCTAGGAATTGGATTTAAGCCTGCATTTCTCTGGCATTTTACAGAGGGCACACAATGTTATGGATGTAGCAGATCTTGCCCCCACTGCCAATTATGGCTCTGAATAGGCTTGCTTCACCAAGTGTTAAAACGAAGAGGGTGCCCTTACACAAAGAGGGGAACTGACTGCTCAAGTTGTTGCCAGCCATTTCAGGCCACGGGGATTCTCGTACACTCAGCAGAAGGCGCTTATTGGCACACAAAGTAGAGCACTGCAAAGCCAGAGCCAGCTTGAGGCAAGGCAGCCTCACTTAAGCCAAGGTACAACCTAGCCACAGGCAGACAAATTATTCTTGGACATAAACGAGCTAATCCCTTGAGCACCTCTCTTCCCCATGACTGGCGGTAAAGATGTAAGAATGATGTAAACTAACTAACCATTTGCAACCCTTGTATGACACTCCATGTAGGTTGCCCAAGGCAGCTGCTTCATTCTGCCCATTGGTAAGGTTGGCCCTGCTCACACATTACCCACGACAACACCTTTAAGAGCCCCTTTCTTCCTCACAGGCAGAAATTAAAATTGTCACCCACAACTTGTCCCCAGCCCTTCCCTTCTCATGCCCAAGAAAACCACCCGTAAGCCCCGAGTCGAGCATTACCCCAAGACGCTGCTAGCAGCTCCAAGCGCCACCGCCTCCTCATTGTGCCACTCGCCCGCCGCTCACTCGGTTGCCCTCTGGCTCGTTCGGTGGGGTGCCCCATTCCTGAACCGCTGCCTTGTTGCCGCCACAATCCCCTTTTGCTCAGAGGAGATGCCCTCATCGCTGTCCGTGGCTCCAGCCGAGTGCCTGGGGGATTTCCGCCTTTTTGAAAAAGCCACAACCAGAACAAACAAGGATTTGCCGTCTGGGCAGTGGTGCTAGCTCAGCACATTCCTGGCCCTGAGGGTAATGGCGGAGGGAGCCGGAGGGTGGCTGCTTCGTGGACAGAGATGCAGAACCTGGAGATAAGGTGTGCAGGCAAAGTGCCAGCAGGACTGGCAACCTTGGTCCGTGGCGAGCCTTGGAAAGATCTGGACTCCAGAGGGGGTGAGCCACTCTAGTCAGGAAAGTCTCATAGCCTGAGACTTCCAGAAATTGCTAGCTGGAGTAGTAGGCGGGAAGGGGGCCTCACCCAGCCCTTCAGAACAGAGTTGGCAGAGCATTTAGAAGGGGTGAAGTGCTGTTAGATCCATTTTGCCACTAAGCCCATGATGCTGTCCCTTCCTATATATGGTGCTTAATCCAGGGAAGAACTGGCGGTTTGTTTGCAAAGATACCACTTACTGAAATTTCCAGGGCAGAGCTTTATCAACAAAGAATCATGTGGTGCCTGAAAGACTTGCACATTTTACCCAGCATATACATGTAAGTGAAGGTAAAGAATGAATACCCGTACCTGGATAAAGGCAATGCATGTCGGAGAAGAGGTGGTTGCACAGAATGGTAGCTTTCAAAGCCTTGTGCTCAGCAACCCTTTCCACAGAGACTTATATGTGGTTTCAGGGGGAATTTTTGGTGTTAAAGCACACAGTTGGCAAGGGGAAACAGCCAGGCCTCAAAAGCAGATTTTGAAATATCAAAATTATGGCTATACAGTGCAAGGCAAGGCAGGGCAGATATGGCAAACAGACCCCCTTTCAGTAAAGCTTAGCCACTACTCCTGGACTTCTCACACTAAAGAGGCCCATGATAAATTCATGTTTCCTGAAGTGTATGAGAAACACCAGTGTAGAAGACAGGGAGGGAAAGTGAAACCATGGGAAAGGCGTTACAGAAAAGTGTTGAAGTAATAACAGTCTCCCATGCTAACTTTCCCTATTGGTAAAGTTCTTTTCCCCACCTCTGGTAACCCCTCCCCTCTCTGTTTGTTTGCTTCACTTCATTTAAGTCTCTTTCTCTGTTCCTGAACTCCAAGTATGCATGAAGCATGGTCTCTCACATATGTGGAAACTCCGTTTTTCTACTGACTGTAACTATAGATAGCAACTGTAAGTAAATATAGCTTTATTTTCCATTTTAAATGCTTCCAGAGTGATTTTTAACATATAATGTGCTAGTCCATGTGAAAAGGGGTGGGCTACTGAGACCAGCTGTTCCCACACTTTCTCTGTTCAGTTGTTGCTTACACCTGATACTCTATATACAGTATATACTTCAGCTGGTGAACTGCTTTTTATTGGAGAATTTGATTAATTACTTTTAAAGCAACAACTTATATCTGATACTCTGCTAACTTTAAAACGAATTATCCAAATTCTCTAATAAAAAGCAGTTCACCAGCTGAAGTATATACTGTATTGAAGAGGAAGCAAATAATAAATACATGGCTTGAAGTATCTCCTTATATGAAAAAAAAAATCCTTCTATGTAGCAAAATGGGCACCATGGTGGCAATGAGAAGGAGGTACAGGCTGGCCTGTTGGAATCAAAACCATGCAGCCAAACCCAAAAATCCAAGGGAAGGGGGGGACACTGTTGCTTCTTTCAACTTTCAAAAGAAAAATAGCACAACAAACTGGATTTTGTTCCAGGTTCAGCTGAGACTACAGCAGAACCACAACCTCCAGCTGGGATGCTGCTGGATCACAGAACAGCAATAATCTTCTGCAGGAGTCCCGTGTACTATTGCTTACCAAGTTCACTCACTGCTAAGACAGAGCAAGACAGAGAATCAGCTTTTTCTTCTTCTTTTAATTAAGTACAGAATCTTAACAAAACAAGTAGCAATTGATACCACACAGAGGAAGGGGTTCCCTGTTTGAGTTTAAAATAATTTAAAAAAAGTTGTTCTCTCTCTTTCTCTTCCAATTGAGGTGGAGCATGGAAACCAAGCTCCCAACCCCAAATGGAAAGAGCTTGGACGGAGCATCAGAGATAGGAAATGCAGCTTTACAAAAATACATGTTGTACAATGTATGGTAGGAATGTGCAAAAGAGGTGGGATGCTTGTGGAAGGAGGAGAGGGTGAACACTTCTGACCCAGGGTTGGTAATGGGGAACGAGATGCAGATTTCCAAACACACCAATATTTCTGTTCCAAAGGTGAGAACAAAGCAGTCACTGGCAAGTGCATTATTTTCACTGGGACACAGGCCAACCTCGCAGTCCTCCCACTGTTAAGTTTGTTTGTTTATTCATACATAGCGTTTTTTCATGGCCATTCTGCCCAGCAACATTCTTTTGCACATCCCCCAAGGTAGAGATGGTATGAAGGACCACAGTAATTCAGACCAAGGAAGGAGTGAAGGAACCACTGAGACTCCCCCACCCCCATACAGATCAAGAGGAGGTCAGGTGCTCTGGCAAGTGGAATGTGATTCCGTCAGGGCAACTCTCCCCCCAATGGATTTCAAATTCCTGGAGGGATCATGTTTGTTCTGTTAAGGACCAGAGAAGGTGATCTTCTTCAATCTAATACCCTCCAGATTGGGGTTGGACTACAACTCCCACAACCAGCACATTCTCCAAGCTGGTGCCCTCCACACGGGTTTGAACTGCGACTTCCACAATCTGGATTTATGGGTGATGCCATCAAACCAAACAGACTACAGTCTCAATTTGGGGAGTTGGGGTCCAACTCATCCGAAGGGTATCACTTTGGGAAAGGCTGCCAGAACAGGTAAGATCCCCCCACCTGGGGGGCTGTGAAGATATGGCCTAATGAAAGATCCGAGTGATCCTAAGGTACCAATTTCTCACACACTGTTGCTGGTATGTGAGAGAGTGGCATGGAAAAGCACAGGATTATGCCCAGGTCCCCCACTGGAGAGCAGGCAGGTGCCTCACTTTCTGCTCCTAAGCTGTGTTGGAGGTCAGCAGTCCCAGAGCTCCACATCTTGGGCTTCAAATATGGCCTCTTCCACATGCCTATAGACGAGACTTTGCACTCCACCAAAAAGCTTGCCCCTACCTTCCCTCCCCATCCAGGAACAGCCAGAATGACTTGGAACCTGCACACCTCGATACTGATCGCCAACTAACAGCCAGCCTCAGAGAGCCTCTGGAACCAAAAGTGGGGAAGGGGGAGGGAGAACCCACACCTTGGTTTGATGGGAAGAACCAAGGGAATAAAGTCTGGTGTGTGTGTGTTGGCTTGGCTTATAATCGCACCACACTGTTGCCTTCATACTGCAACCGGTTGGCCAAAAGAGTGACGCAGAAAGGATAGCTGTGGCATGCTTCAAGTCCACGACGTAGGTTCAGCCCTCTTTCAGTCAAGGCTCTGACCTCCAGGCAGGACCAGGGCCTGAAGAATATCTGAGAGCGACACAATGCCCTTCACCACATTATTTTCATCCACCACCACCAGCCGATGAACCTGTTGGTTACAGCAGATATTTGTGAGAGCTTGTTTTACACTACAGAGATTCAGCAATGACTGTCCCAAGATGTCACCCTCATGTGACAAGAAGGAAATTAAGTGTTACAGTAGTTTGCTAACTAGTCCTTTCTAACGGTCCCTTGAGCCATTCAAATGCCTCCGAAATTCCTTTATGGAAGTGGGAATCCCATCTTTCAGAGAGAACCTCTATGCTGCTGGACACCCCACTACTAGAGTGGCAGGTGAAGGACGCTGGCATGGACTGGGATTTTTTACTCCCCAATCAAAAACAAGGTGGGCAGTCTCCAGAGATCCAGAGGCTGAACACACTCTTCACTAGACGGATGAGGACTAATCCCTGCTCCCATAAGCCTCCCAGCAAACTTTTCTTACAAAAAGGGCTGGATTTCTTTTCCTGGGGGGGATGGGACTCTCCTTCCTACAGTACCCATCTACACTCTTCCCCCCGCCATGTTTTTCAACCCTAAACATTGCTTTAAACATTTCAGGATATAGGGTGGCCCAAGGGTGCTGTCCAACCCAAAAAATATTGCAAAATGGCCACTTGGACTTCCTGGAAGGCACAAAGGGACATTCCAAGCGAAATATATGATTACACAACATTTTGCAAAATTTTGGGGTTTAGAGGCCACATCTTATTACACAACATTTTGCAAAATTTTGGGGTGTGGAGGCCACATCTTGTGCCATGTCTAAATTTCTGTGCTTCACTAACCAACAGACAAATGTTGCCCTGGGAAAGGCAAGGGAGAAAGTCAATGAGAATGCCTAGAAGACAAGGCACAAAGTCTTCACCACTGTCATTTCTCACAGGAACATGACGTGTGTCCTACCCCTCCTATTTTACTGTTGCAACTTGGTGCAAAGTCCTTATTATAGCAGGGCTTACACCTGAGTAATAAAGCAAATGGCTCCTGTTTGAAAAGGTTCAGGTTCAAGCAGATCCAAAGTCAGATGAAACAGCATATATTGGCAGTGCTAATATTTGCCTGCACCACAGATACATATGTTCCTGGCTGCCACTACTCCTGAATCCATGGATTATTAAAGTGAAAGCACAGGAAAAGCCCCAAACCCTTCCCTCTTTCACATCCAGAGATCATCGTGCTTTCTTTTGTTCTAAAATGGTCCCAGGGAAGAGAACTTTCCTTGGTCTTGGCTGGCTTAATGACTGTGGGGTTTTCCCTTTTCCTTTGTACATACGTTGAATCAAGACTGAAGTCACAGTCCCAAAGACAAACCTAGCAAACAGCCGTAAGACCTCACTCACTAGAGAAGTGTTTTAATTTTTAAACCCATAAAACTTTTTTTACTATAAAACAATATATAAAGACTCTAGCATCCATCTATCTCTCTACTGAATCAATGCTATCCTTGCTTGTTTAGTAAATGTTATTTTTTTCTATAAAAGAGGCCAAAAGGTCTATTTAATTTTCAATGTCACCTTTGATATTTCCTGCTATTAACTGACCTGGATAAAAGTTGACCTGTACGCAAATTTGGTCTTTGGACGGGTTTCCCTTATTCTGTCTTGCCTTCTTTCCTTTTTTTGGAATCATCCAGGACTTACTTTTGTACCCAGGAAACCATTAAGAGCAGAAAGGATTATTACCTCAGCCTCCACCAGCCGGTTGATGATCGTCTCTAAAGTTTCATGTTTATAGCACTTGAGCACACCCTCAAAGTACTGGGAGCGATGCTGCAATGCTTTGGTCACGGTCACATCCAGGTTATTGTAGGTCTTCTCTGCCGCCAGGTTCTGGTTTTAAGAAAGGAGAGGAGCTGGTGGGATAAACGGCCCTCTTGGTTGTCCTTGCATTTGCTTGCCCTGCGGGGAGCATATGTCTCCCTCAGCCTATTAAAACTGGGATCTCGCCAGTCCCCGAGGGTGTCTACACCACAGTTACAGAAGCCATCCTATCTGGTCATTCCCACCCTCAAGACATGGAGCAGGGTTACATGGAGTTAGCACAAGCCAGAGAACACTCTAGTGTAGTAACAACAGAGGGGGCTTGAAAGGGACACAGTTTCTGTACCCAACATCTTCAGGTCCAGAATTTATGTTTGTAGGCTAAGTTGTGTACCTTCTTCTTCCTTGTTTACTTAGAAGCAGTTATAACACAGTGATTGGCTAGAAACTGAACTGCGTAGCAGTGCTAATAAAACAACCACTGATGACTTGTGGAAACAGTCTTGTCTTTGAGTTTAATAGAAAACAAAGGAATGTAGACACACTCTCAAAATGCAGAAGGCAGGGTGTTATCTGGATCAAGGAGATACTCACAATGACATCAAATTTGGAGTAAATATCCACAACCCGACCTAAAAGGCAAACAGAAACAGCAAGAATCTGTGACGTGCCTCTAATGGTGCTGCTTAGATCCCTATTTCAAGATCAGGAGAGGTCCTTAGCTAGAAGACATGTGCCCAGGTATAGGAATGCACAGTAGTATAAATGCACAGGTTGCATCAGTCCACACACCAAGGGCTACAACATTTCACAAGCAAAAGTTTGGCATGGCAAAAAGTTGCTTGCAGGATGAATGGCTTAAGATGGTTCTTGTATGTATGCCAACCCACACACAACAGAAAAAGGTAGGGGCAACACAGGGAGAACTGAGGCACTTCTTTTCCTATCTTATCTGTGGCAGTCAACCCGTGATGGGTACTTAATTGACTTTTGTACTTAACCTTACCAAAATGGGTATAGCATCTGGTTTACAGTAATAAAAGCAAATCACCTGGAAACAGCCAAGAAAAAAGAAACACACAAACAGCTCTGGAACATCAATACAATAGATTAAAAAATACCAACACAGCTCTTGAGATTTCAAAGTCTAGCTGCATAGAACACAGTACTGCAGTTCACAAATCTACTCCACTACTTGCATGGTGGAATACAAAAGTGTCCACATGCTTTTTGGGGGCCAGCACAGAAGGAGCTATGTGAGCCTTCCCCATCGCCCAAAAGCCTTGACCTCAGCCCAGGAATGAAGAACACGGGGCCTTCAAAATGTCAGAGGGCTGCACATCCCATGAAGTCTCATCATTGTTTATGCTTCCCAGGGATGATGGGAGTTGTAGGGCAACACCCAAAAATGTTCTCTATGTTGCCTTAGAATAAGCTGATTTCACCTCAGATAAATGAGGCACTTGGAATAATATCCTAATAGAAGACTTTAGTGGACAATGAAGCCACAGGAGAAAAGTGCGAGTGTGATAGTCTCCAGAGGGGAAAAAAGTCATAGTTAGATATACAAATAAAACAAAGTCTTCCTAGCCTGCAGGAAATATTGGAATAGAAATGACAGTAATATCTGTCTTGTTTTATCCAGCTGTTTTGAGGGTACCAAGGCTCCTTGCTCACACAGCTGTTTCAGGAGTGTCATCTACAGCAGGGATGGCCAAGATCCCAGGCTCATGAGCCACAAGCTGGAATCCTGAACCAGCATCTGTAGACAGACGCAAGAGTGAAAAGAGTTCCAAAACCAGAAAGCTGTGCTGAGGGAAATAACTCAGCTCGCAATCATTCTGTGCAGATCCACTCCTGATCTCCCCAAGTTTTTTTTTAAAAGTTCCTCCAATATTTGACTGTGGGGAAGGAGATAATTTTGCTGCTGTTATTGCTAAACAGGAAGAAGTCAGGAAGTCTTTGTCAATCTAATGAAAATTATGCAGAAGTCTACCAGTAGATGCAAATCTACCTCCTGCCTACGCCAGTGGCCTCTATATAGCACAGACCACCAATGAAAAAAAACAACTTTTCTTAAATCCTAACTCACTTCAGTGAGTTCTTGCATTTGCTCCATTCTTTCTAAAACTCCACAGTACTCACCTGAATCATCCACCACGGGCAATGCTGAGACTCGATGTTGTACAAAAATGCCCAGAGCAACATAGATAGGGGTGCTGGTGTGGACCTTCGCAATGTTTTCATAGGTACCAATCTTCAACTCCTCCAGGGTTTTGGACATGAACTCTGGCTTGGGGAACTCTGCAATCTGCAGAACAATAAGAGAGGATCTCGTAAAGCAACTGGAAGTACTTCGGACAAAGCGAATAAGATGGCAACTTACAGCTATGCCAAATGACCCTGGGTCAGAAGGACAGGGAGGAAAGCGTTCAGCCCTGCCAAGCAGAGATGGTCAAAGGGGCTTGGGTGGTGGGGCACTCACAAAGAGCTTGAGAAACTTGAGGATGCGTTTGTGTGTCAGGATGTACAGCGTGTTCCCTGAGTCAGGATCAATGACAGGCAGCCGATGGATCTTGTTCCGGATCAAAGAAGTCACGGCATCGTACAGGCTGAAAATCACAAGAGAGGAAAGGAGCAGAGCACCACTGAGAGACAATAGGGACACTCAGACCCCAGAATTCTCTAACCAGCTCCCCAAGGGACAGGTCTAAAGCTTCTGAGGGATTAGAGAAGAGGGAGAAGCTTGGGCTTCTGGAGGACAAGGGGGTCAGATCCAATGGCACTGGGCAAAGATTTCCAGGTTCAGTTCTATTTACTAAAACTAGAGTTTATTCTATTTCAAGGATTCAAGACATGTAAAAACTAGCTGCATGTCTGAGGAAATAAAAATAACTATTTCATTACCAAACAACAGCACCTCCTGATTTTACAGGGACAGATGACAGAACTGAATTTTGGCTCCACTTTGTCTTAAGGACATGACTCTGTGAACTGGCTTGCACCATGCAGAATTTTGCCTGAGAATCATCATAAACCATTCATTCTATTAACAACTCTCTCTCAAGGTACTTTTGCAACCAATGCATTTCCAGCACTGGACTGTGGCAGGGTGTTTCTCTTCTAGCTAAAGACCCTTCCTGATCTTGAAATGGGGAACTAAGCAGGCAGTTGTGGAAACCTCACAGCCCCCTCCTGCTTCTGTCTGGCTTTTAGGTTATGTTGTGGATATTTTCAAATGTTATGTCACTGCGAGTAACACCCTGCCCTCTGCATTCTGAGAGTACACATCTATATTACTTTGTTTTCTACGGAAACACAACGAGAGCGGTGTTTCCACATGTCATTGGTGGTTTGTGCCAGTGGCATTGCTAGTTCAGTTTCTAGTCTAACCTCTGCCTAGTCAATTCATGACTGAGTTTAAGTATGAACCTGGGAAACATTCACTCCATGAGCCACTGTTATACCTTCTTCCTTGCTGTCAATCTATGCCCTGAAGCACCTGCCCACACTCTGCATGCCCTCTCTCTGGAGGGTGGCCACTAATCAGGCTTTCATGGTGTTGGGCTCTCCTATTATCTGACAGTCATCCCTGGGAAGTTCTTCTGGATCCAACAAATTATTTCAGGTGCTAGCTTTAGGTTATTTTTGCTCCTCCAGGCATTTAAAGCCTCTGTGTTAATCCCCATCAGTAGAATTATTCAGCTTCTGTACAAAGCGGCTAGAATTCTTCGCTTGCATTGCATTCTGTTGTCTTGCTTTTTAATTGGGCTGTTTTTCACTGGCAGTATAGCAGGAAGGAGGCCTTCACAATTAGGGACCACCTAAGCTTAAGCATAGCTGTGGCACTCAATACAACATCCCAAACAGAAAAGTTAATGTTGAATATGCGACATGGAAAACATTTTCTCCTATTATTTAAACTCAAAATATTGTCCATTTGCTATACCATGCCTGGTACTATCTGACCATCAGAATCCAGATAACATTGTTTCAGGTTATCCTGAATGTTGTTTGGTGGCCACCACTTGGCTACTTTTTTTTAAGCCTAAGGCTAGTCCCCATCTCTTAGTCCCACTTCCTCATCTGTGAAGCAAGAAGTCATTGCGGAGCCCCTTTCACGTAACCGTTGTGAGGGGAAAACAAATATTAAATGTAAATCGGCAACAATTATGCATCAGAATTAGGTGCTATTTTATTTAATTTTATAGGGACTAGTTCCTTAGGTTTTCAAAGAATTTTGCCAAGGAATGGAGAAAGACAAAAGGATGAATGTGGGCTTTGAGAGCTATGGTGGTGATCGGTTAGGGAATTGTTATCTAGGGAAGAAGCCCTTCCTAGAAATCATCTACTTACTTCTAAGCCCTTCCCCATATGCCAAGAGGGCTAGATCCTTGATTTTTCAAGAAAAGCCAAGCTTCTCAGGCTGTAAGCTTCTGAATTTCACATGGATGCTTACACTACATATAACCCTTAAAAAAACTCTTCTGTGCATTCAGAACACTGGCAGACTTTAAAAAAAAACTCCAGCACCAGCTCAGATGAGTTACAGCAAGGAAAATTCAGAACAGTCTGGCACCAGAGACTATTGAAGTGCAGGAGACTGAAGAACTCAATGGCCCTGACAATGGTTTTGGTGTGGGGAAAACGAGGCACCTGCCAGAGGGAATGGTTGGCAAGGAGGCAGGAGGTCAACAATGCTTCAAACGTTGACACAAACTGGCAGACAATTCCCGAGCAGGAACAGGTTTCCTACCTGGCACTTGGTGAAATGTAGACCAATGGCTTGAAGGAATCTTGCAGGTAGACCTCTGCATGGGATAGGAGGAAATTAGTTAGATTGTGCAGATTGGGGGAAGGGAAAAGAAAGCATGCAGCTTTGGGTGGGGTGGGGGGGTGAATGGGAAGCTTGCAGCTCCTCCTGCTGGCTTGGAGCCAAGAGGCAAAAGACAGGAGATGCGCTCAGAGACAAGGAAAAAGAGGGCTTTGCCAAATGCTTCGCAATTTCTTCACCGCTGGAAATACCCAACACCTTCTTCCGATTTAGCTTCACCGGGAGCATCCCATATTTCAGGGATGGGGAAAACGTTGCCTTCCCTATGTTGCTGGTCTGCAACTCTCATCATCACCCCTGCTGTGTTCTTTTCACTCCAAGGTGCCGCCTCCTTACCTCTCCATGTTTCGATCTTGTGCTCCTCCAGTTCATAAATCTGCACCTACAGACCCAAGGAACAGACCACAGGCATCAGTTCAACAAAAACCATCTTGCACCTCAGTCACCATGCCTATGACTGGGTGGGTTCCCAATTGACTCCAACCAGACAGGCGACATTTAATTCCCACATGATGATACCGGCCTAGCAATATCAGGGACACAGTTCCAGTTGAATAGGTCTCGGGTTCCAAAGGGGAAAGTCTACCTTCTTAAGAATGCCAACAGGTGGGAAATGAGGCACCCGATCCTTTTCATTTCAAGTTTTTCCCCCCACATTGGTACAGTTAGCAGGGTTCTATAAAGATATTCTTCCACCACCACCACCAAACTTTGACCTTTATTTCTGACTTTGAAAAGCCGAGAATTATGATAAAGAATTCACTGCTGTTGTCCCCAGGGTGCAATTTCCTTTCTTTCATTTGGGGGGGGGGGGTGACTGCAACTTGCAGAGTTTCCCAGAAATCCTCAGGCAAAATTCTGCAAGGTGGAGGCCAGAAACATAAGTCTACAGACAAGCTGTATTTGCCTCTGTCACGGATATTTTTGGCCTCTTTATGCCTTCAAAAACCAGGAAGCACCCCCCCCCGGTGCTACCTGGGAGTCCTAAGCTTTCTGAGTGGTGTCGTTCATTAGGAGACACCTTCTATACAGCCTAATGGGCAGTGAGACTGCACAACCCAGGGGCCTTCCTTTTCATCAGGAAGCTAAGCTAGAGCTAGGTCATGGAGCCTTCACATTAGGTCCTTCTCCAGGCATTGTAAGTGAAATGTAGGTGTGTCTAAAGGTGTGGTTTTTGGGCTGGAACTCCCAAAATTCTACCTGGGAAATTCTTAAAGAATTCTGAGAGTTGGGAGACCAAGCAACCCAAATGGCAGATCCCTATTGTGGCCCCATTACAGTGGTGCCTCGCATAACGAGCGCACCAGTTAACTACGAATCCGCATAGCGATATATTTTTTGGGATCGCTAATGTGATCGCATTGCGATGTTTTAACAGCCTAAACATTGCATTGCGATGATCGGTAAGCTTTTCGCTTACCGATCTTCGCATTACGATGTTTGCGGAACAGCTGATCGGCGGTTCCAAAATGGCCGTCGGGTGCCCAAAATGGCCACCACAACCATTTCCGCGCGATTTCCTCGCTTGCCGAGGCAGCAAAAATGGCGGCATTATGGAGGATCTTCACATAACGGTGAGTTTTCACTCCATAGGAACTGCGATGTTTCCGGATAGCGACGATTAATCCGGAACGGATTAACATTGCTATGCGGGGCACCACTGTATTGTATTTTCATTAAGTGTATGCATTTTTTTACTGTTATTCTCTTACTGTGATAAATGCTGTTATCACTGCTACACATCTGAGAGCCTCAAAAAAAATTCTTATTCTCTAACCTGCATGTGTCATTCATAAATGTTGAACTTTTCTTCTACAACAAGTAAGGGCAGAAATGGGCTCTGAGATTGGTCACAAATCCACGGCAGCTGACAAATCTGGATGGGATACCCCATTCTAGACACAGTCATATACCTCCACAGGTTTGATTAAAGTCCCAGGCATGAGGGTGGTGAAGTAAATGCTTTAAGTACAGTGGTGCCCCGCTTGATGATGATAATCCGTTCCAGCAAAACCGCTGTAGAGCGAAATCATCGTCAAGCAGGGGAAAAAACCCCATTGAAACACATTAAAACCTGGTTAATGCGTTCCAATGGGCAAAATACCTAATCGTCCAGCGAAGATCCTCCATAGGGCGGCCATTTTCCGGTGCCTGTAAAGTGAAAAAACCGTCCTAAATACAGCAGGGAGCTATTTTGCACAGCGGGTGGCCATTTTGAAACATGACAATCAGCTGTTTTCTGATTGTTGTTAAGCGAAAAATCAGCTCCCAAAGCAAGGAACCGATCGTCAAGTGAAAAAAGCCCTTTGAAACATTGTTTTGCGATTGCAATAGCGATCACAAAAACATCATTGTGAAGCGATTTCATTGTATAATGAGGTAATCGTCAAGCGGGGCACCACTGTATTACGTGTGGCCAAGTTGGAACTGGCAAATAGCTACCATGTCACGACTTTCAAAGTACATTTTTTTCCATGTATAAAGTGATACTTTCCCCTAAAATAGAGTAAAAATTGAGGGTCATTTTATACACAGAAGTAAGGGGGGAGGGATCAAAGCACTTTGATCCCGGCTTTCCCCCTACATTTTCCTCGCACGAAAGTGGAGGGGAAAAGCAATTCCTGCTTGTCATGATGATGGGATATGGAGTCAGAGAAATGTAAAATGGAGTCAGACAAGTTCTGTGTGAAGATGATTTAAGAGACATTGGAATGTGTTTTTCTAAGTGCCATGAGAATGTTTTCCCAAAGACCGTTACAGCCTGGCTCGAGATAGCAATGAAGGCCAAATTGAGCCCGTGGAAGACTCAACATTCCGAGCTAATTGGAGAAGAGATAACCAACACCAGAACTCTCATGGGAATAAAGGGAGGAGGAAGGTGGTACAGCCTCTTGAGACTAATTGGTTAACAGCCAGAATTTTCAAGAAGAAGGAAGGAGTTAGAGGAGGTAGAAAATGGATGATGGGTTATGTGAGAGAGATGGATTATTTGATTCAATCTAATACTGAATGCTGAATGGCAATTCGAGTGTTGTTCTGATCTGGATTCGATTCCATGAAGGAGAGAGGATGTAAGTAAAGGAGAAAGAAGGAGGTGGGGCTAGCCCACTATAGCCCACCTTAGTTAGCTTATTAGTGTTTACTATTTTAAATGGTAAGTTATTTTATTTAACTGCAGTGATCTTTGAATATGTTCTTGATGCTAAAGCTTGTGCAATATAAACTTATTCTAACGAAACTATATTTTTCTAATAAAAATTAATTATAAAAATTCTACAAAAGGACTGGTCTCTTGAACAGCAGGGTCTGGCTAAATCCAAGAGGTGCACAGGGCCACAAACTAGCTATCTTTTAAGAGTCCTATCTAACTGCTTAACTGAGCTTTAGTGAGTTTTAAGGAATCACAAAACCCACGTGTTTGTACCTGCAAAGCACTGTTTAAGGGAGTTCTAAGGAATCACAAAACCCATGTGTTTGTACCTGCAAAGTACTGTTTAAGAGTAAAGTGTTGTTTTTAGGTCAGACTTGTTCAAAGGGCTTACGCTATGCACAGCTGAGGTCCTGGGACTTGCTCCAGCACAAAGGTGGTAGGTAAGCGGCCTGTCGGACTCTCTGACCAAGTGCAACTTGCCCCTTAGGGGGTTCAGTGCACCACACTGCTTTCCCCCTACACTTTCGTTGCAAAAAGCTGTTTTCCCCCTCCACTTTTTGCAATTAAAGAAATTTTGGGTTAAAAAAGTGAGAGTGTGTGTGTCTTATGTACAGAAAAATATGGTGAGATATTTAAGGAGCAATTTTACTAGCGTCACACGCCCAGCACGTTTCCATGGCTGATTTGAACGCAGGCCTCCTGAGTTCACTCTATTCACTACACCACACCAAATATCTCTAAGTAAGCTTACCATGGCTGATTTATAGTAGCGATGCAGAATGTTGATGAAGTCTGTGATTGTGAGCATTCCTATGGGGCAGAAAAGAAACAGAAAACTATTCATTCCAGCCAATAGGTAATTTGGGGAGGGGCGATACCAAGAATGAAACACCAAAGTCAGATGGATGCACACTGAGGCCCCCTGGCTATGTCAAGGAGAAGAAATCTCACAGCATTACTCTCAAGATGAGTACCACTCTATTATGCAAACGCCTCATAATCCGAGGCCATAACTTCTAGTTTATTTACGTTATGTGGGAATCCAGTGCAGTGCAAGACACTCACCCACAAAGCTTTGTGTTTTGCTGTCCCAGAGGGGAGCAGCTCGAACACCATTGGTCACCAGCGCAAAAAAGGCCTTCTTTACCTATAAGTCAGATAAGCAAGAAAAGGACAATCACACAATGGGACCAGGAGACAATAACAACAACATTACTTCTGCTTAACATCTAGCTAAGATGTACTTGAGGAAGGAGCAGTGGCATGGCTGCTTTTGACTAAACAAGATTAAATTTAGAACCAGCCCATTAAAAACATTCTGCTGATTTCAAACGTGTCAGTTTTTTAAAAAAAAAATACCTGACACTATATTTTGATACTTTTTAAAATTTGCCAAGTATGGCAGTTCTCAAACTTTCTTTAGCCACTTTACTTCTTTGTCTTAACCATCCAATAATTTGCTTTTCTTCTTTGTTATTATTATTTATATGTGAAGAAGAGGGCCTCATACGTTTAGAGGATATATTAAAGCAATGTAAATAAAAGACCTGGTTATCAACTGTGAGTGAAAAATCTCATATAGCATATTACCACCAACTTCCATAATCTTCTATCCTACCATATTGCCACTAAGTAAGAAAAGGGTTGTCATAACCATGTAACAGTGCTCAACATTCTTAAACCCTCTCGTGGAAGATGGCCAACCAGGTTGAAGTGATGCAGGAAAGGGAGCATTTTTTACCTTCCTATTACCTCTACTACATGGAATAGTTAAGGGGGAGGTGGAGGCTGGTAGATTCCACATTCAACAACACTTTAATAGTGTATAGTACTTTGCATCCCTCATATTTAAAGAAACCTTGCAAATAAAAACTGGAATGAGGGGAAACACCAATGTAGGCAGATCTTTTAGCAAGGATGGACAACTCACAGCAAATTCCATGAGCCCCTAGCCAGCACAGCCAGTGGTGAAAGATCACTGGAATTTGAGTTCAGAAACATCTAGAGCAGTGGACCCCAACCTTTTAAACCCCATGGACCAGTTGGGGAAGATGGGGCACTTTCCACGCTTGTGCGCATGCACAAAGGAGCAAAAGGGTGCTCATGTGGGCGTGCTCATGCACATGCACAAAGGAGCAGGAGGGTGCTCATGCGGGCAATCGGGCACATGCACGAAGGTCAGCATGGCGCTTGGGGGCACTCATGCACATGTGCAAAGGGGTGGGTGAGTGCTTGCGCAGGCACAAAGGAGCTGTGCAGAGGGGAATGCAGGCGGGGGTGGGAGGTCTGTCTTCACGACTCGGTCCAGTACAGGCCATGGACCAACACTGGGCCATGGACCGGGGGTTGGGGACCTCTGATCTAGAGGGTTACAAGAGGCCCAGTCTTGTGCGTACAGTTAAAGAATCCTTAATGACAGGGGAATTGAAGAATTATGGACAGAAGATGTGCACCGTTTTCCACCTCTCTTTGTAGATACTAAGCCGCAAGTCAGAAATACTCAGTCCCTCCAGATACTGTTGAGATCCACCTTCCATCAGCCCCAGCCAACATCATCAGTGACAAGGCTTGATGGGAGTTATAGTCCAACAACAGCTGAAGAATATCTCCCCTTGCTCTAAGCAGCTCAGCCCACTTGCAGTCCTGGGAAACACAAACCTGGATTTGAGGGAAAGAGCTAGACTCACAGGAGGTATGTATGAAACAGGTCTTCTTCAAAATGAGGTCTTCTTCCCCTGTTAAGCACTAGATTGAGGCAGGACGCTCACTTATCAAACACAGTGGTTCTCCATTTTGGGCCCTCTAGAGATTTTGGACTTGAGCTCCCAGAAATGCCAGTAATGCATTCTGGGAGCTGGACATTCAAAACCTCTGAAGGGTCCAAAATTGAAAATCACTAAATTAACCCACAAACAACTCCTGCTGACAACTCTGCATGAGAGACTGGCAGCATCAGAGCAGTGCAGGGGGTCTATAAGCAGCCTCTGTTTTATTGCCATACTGTTTTAAAAGGGGAGCAGGTTAAATACTGGAATTCTGGTCCACCAGAAGACTCTACTCTTCAAAAGCTGTTTGCTACCCACCTGCAGAGAAGTATCGAACACAACCAGTTTAGAGCTTGTCGGGATGAGGTCATAGCAGCGATGGGATTTCATGAAGCAGGTGTAGATGCCACTGTTGGAATCCCCATCCCCTAAAGAAAACAAATGGGAGTGAAAACATAAACACAGATTGCCAACAGGCAACTCCCAAAGTGCATGGTGGGCAAAGTATGTACATTAGAATTTTTAAGGTATAAGCATTCACAGGCACAAAACAAAACTCTTCAGGGCAAGAACAAATCTGAGAATTAGAATTTCAGGCTCCACTGTAATTTAAAACTAGTATAGAGTTTTAAATTATTTATATATATAATTTTATATACAGTATGTATCTATCTATCTATCTATCTATCTATCTATCTATCTATCTATCTATCTATCTATCTATCTATCTATCTATCTATCTATCTATCTATCTATCTATCTATCTACCTATCTATCTATCTATCTACCTATCTAAAATAGTGATGGTGCACTATATATATAGTGCACCATCAGTATGCATCACACACTGCAGAATCACTTAGGTGAGAAGGAAGAAAGATTCCTGTCTCAGGGACCTTACAACCATATTAACAACTGTGCTGAAGGGGCTGGACTATGGGACGGATAGGATTTGTATCCCAAAGTATCCTTTATTTCTGCTTTGAAGTGGTCGGATACTCACCATGGATGGGAATAAGTTGCTCTGGCTTACCCTGCAAGTAGGGCTATGTGACAAAGAAAATCTCTATCCACATCAGGGATCACAGCCCTGATTGTTAAGTATGGTTTACATCCACTTCCAGATACTTCTGACTCCAACGAATTCTAGGACTACAAATCCCAGCATGCTTGACTATTGGCCATGCTGGCAAGGGCTGATGGCAGTGGAAGTCCAAAATATACTTGAAACTTACTTCCTTACTTGCATACACATGCATGCACACAAAAACACACATCGACCAATCTTAGTCAAAAACCACACAGAGCAGCTTTTCCTAATTTGGTGTCCTCTGGAAATGCTGGACTAAACCTTCCATTAACCCTAGCCAGTTTGGCCAATGATCAGAGATGATAGGTGGAGCCTAAAATAAACCTGGGTCTTCCAGTCTTACGGACGTTTTCCACAGATCATTCCGCTTGCCTTACCTTCTGTTGTGAGGAGGGCTTTCTCCAACCCACTCTCAGGAACGGTGCCCTGCAGGGGAGAGGTGGAGGTGGGGGATGAAAAAGAAAGATAAGGGAGATGCCTGGCTACAACAAGAGAGATCCTTTTATTTTATATATCCAACACCTTCCTGGACTGCAAACCAAAATATAGTCAGTTCTTCAATTCCTCAGGTTTAAACAGCTTTTAATCTCTGATCACATTGATCAGAGGTAACAGCAATAGAACCTGCAAGCCTTGATGAGGAAACGTTATCTTGGACAACACTTCCTTGAATGTAAGGAGTGGAAACTAAGGTTGTCAACTAATAAAACTATCTGGGTTCATTACAGATCTTTGCCAAAATTATGTTGCATAACGTAAGCAAAGGTGTAAATTTCGAGAGAGTAATATACTTGTTTTTTTACATAAAATATGATGTCTGAGCAGGGATTTGAAAAGGAATGAGGAATGCCTTTTAAAACTGGTATCTCTTAAGAAAAAAGTATCTTTAAAATTACAAAAAATCTGCTGCCCCCTTTAGATGCACAGGCATGGCTCTCACTCCCATTCACCCAGGAAGCTCACCTTATCACTGTTGCTCACTCTATTCAACATGACAAGTTTGTTATGATGACAACACAGCAGAACCCCATGTGCATGCACACTATAAAGGACAAATACAATTTTCCACAATTGCAATGGATCCACTAGGAACTACATCACTGCTGGCTAACAACTGCCATTTGTTTTAATCAACCTGTGCCTGTTATGTACTGTCAAGTGGCATCCAAGTTATAGCAAACCTAACAAAGTTTTTAAGATCTCTGAGATTTTTAAGGAGTGGTGTTACTCATGCCACCCCCGCCACCCCCAGGAGCTTCCATGGTCAAGTGAAAATTTGAACCCACGTCTCCTGAGTCCTAGTCCAACATTCTACCTGTACCATTTGGATTAGATTAGGCATCCTTCAGTCTCAAGAGACTATGGTAACGTGCTCCGTATGGAGGACTTGGAACAGCGTCTAGTCGGGCTGAGAAGGCCAATTCAAGAGTGACAATCCTTTCCACACTGAAGACAAATCCAATCTGTCCCCTGTCCAGCTCCCTCGTTTTGCTGCTTTTGTGATTTCCTCTTTGCCTCGGCTTGCTGGACAAGGGTCTCTTCAAATTGGGAGAGGCCGTGATGCACTGCCTGCCTCCAGGCTGAATGCTCAGATGTCAAGGTTTCCCATCTGTTGAGGTCCGTTCCTAAGGCCTTCAGATCCCGCTTGCAGATATCCTTGTATCGCAGCTGTGGTCTCCCTCTGGGGCGATTTCCCTGCACTAATTTTCCATACAGAAAATCTTTTGGAATCAGCCATTCTCACAACATGCCCAAGCCAACGCAGACAATGCTGTTCCAGTAATGTATACATGCCAAAAATTTCAGCTTGTTCCAGAACTACTCCATTTCAAACTTTGTCCGGCCAGGTGATGCCAAAAATGTGTTGGAGGCAACGCATATGGAATGTGTTCAGTTTCCTCTCCTGCTGTGCTCAAAGGGTCCAGGACTCACTGCTGTACCATACTGGCTCTCCAAGCTACTCTAGATGAGACCAAAACTGGATTAAGCCCCAGGTTTTGTGGAAGATCAGAAGGGTAGCAGACAGGCTGCCCTCAGAGAGCCTGTGTGTGATGGACGGGATGGCTCTCCTTTACATCTGTGGTACAGCTACACATCCCATGATAGGCTGAAAGAGCTGACCCAGGGCAAGGCTTCTTGGTGGCCCTTCTCTGTCTAATTAGGAACCTCCAATGTAGAAAAGCCTCATAGCCACGGCACCTCAGCTCAGCACTGGGAAATGCTGAGCACAGCACTTCTGCCGGCTGCTTCCCAGCAGCTGGAAGGATGGAATTCGGCCCTCTTTGGCTTCTTTCTCCTCTCCCACGAAAATTTTATTATGTTCCCACCACGGTCTGTGTCTTACCAGGGCATGAAAAAAAACAGCTGTCAATGATTCCAATCTCAGGAGAAGCTCACTACAGTATATACACTTGCCTGAAGAGGGTGATCTCATTGAACACAGGAGCCGCAGCTAAGGAGACACTTTGAAAAAGCTAAATTCAAAGCAACCAGACTCTGAAGCTTATTGCACCCTGCCCATAAAGAAGCTGGGTTATCTCATATGAATATAGACTGTGATGATTCTGTCACCAGGAAACACACAGGTAAACCAGAAGTGCAGGATCCCTAAATACCACATTTTTCTGTGTATAAAATGCCTCCATGTATAAAACACCCCCACTTTTCTAAATCAAAATGTCTTTCTTTACAAGAAAGTGGAGGGGGAAAGCAGGAGTTTCCCCCCTACATTTTCATTGCAAAAAGCAGCTTTCCCCCTCCATGTTTTGCAAAGAAAATGCGGGGGAATGCAATTTCTACTTTCTCCCTCCATTTTCTTTGCAAAACGTGGAGGGGGAAAAGGGATCAAAGCACTTTGATCCCTCCCCCCCCTCCTTACTTCAACCCTCAATTTTTCCTTTAATTATTTTAAGAAAAAGTGCTGTTTTATAAACGGAAAAATATGGTAGATTGTACCAGCTGAAATTACAGCCATCCAGGCCCCTCAAAAAACAAAGAGATGTGCCATGTATTTAGAATGCATATTTAGTATTGAACAAAATGATCACAATAATCTGAAGTGTGCAAGATCCTTCCACATATGCCACCTTAAGAACTGGGGGGGGGAGATCAAGCAAAAACCAAAACATGAGACAGGACCAGCATGCCCTGATAATGTGTAACCTTTATAGAAGCATTCGAATGTCATGACATTCATTCCAGCTCCAAAACATTTTCTCAACATACATACTGTAGAACAGGGTTGATCAACTTGCAGCCTGCAGGGCATGCTGAAACCATTATTTATTCAGCCGCCGGCACACTATCAAAGGTTAATCAAGGTGTGTTAAAATGGTTGCCTGCAGTGTCACACGAAAATAAGGGATGTATGAAAGTGAGAGATTCTACATTAGGTCTCTCTTCAATGTTTTTAAAGCTCCCATGGGTTCTTCATAAGTTAGTTGACACCCACTTTAAGATGCAGGCTGGAAACAAAGAATCGGCTGACTTTTAGGACCATCTACTTTGGCCCAAAAGCTATTCTGACTGAATATCTGTCACCCCCCCAAAAAAATAAAGATGTTCACTATCCCATGCATAAGAGGTATATGAAACTGCAAATTAAAAAAAATTACTCTTTTTAGCTTTCCAGATCTCATCTAAATTCAAACATCCCTCTGGAAAAAGCTCCTCTCAGATTCCCTGGGCACATCTGCACAAAGAAGCTTCTGCTTTAACTGACGAGATGCTCTGCACAAGCAGCTGCCTGCTTGGAACACAATGATTTACAGGGTCTCTCCCAGCTCTGCAATTCTATGATTATTATTATATATTCCCCATCTCTGGCTTTATCTGCAACACAGGCTTTAAAAACAGCAGTTAGCCTCACAATTTCACACACTATCAGCAGCACAGGTAACCTCGTTCCTTCTTTTTAGCAGGGAGGTGGGCAACTGTAGTACTCCAAATGCTTTTAACCTGCAGCTTCTACCAGCATCGCCAAAGGTGAGGGGTGATGAGAGACCTCTCCCTGTTTCATCAGTTCCACTACAACTCCACCAGCTAGCCACACAGCCAAGTTGTCAAGGTTTCAAATCTCTGTCTGCCGTGCTATCATCAACAGATGAATCAATATTTCCTGTGTTTACTGTCTCCTAATGTCCAGGACTGTTTAGCTGTCACTCTTAATCCAGCTTCATAAACCAACCATCATGCAAGGAAGGATGAAACCAACACAGGAGATATAAATAAGAATGGAGATTAAGAACGGGGAAGGTCACAGGCATTAGAGGTAACAGCTACTGCTCTAGAACAGCAAAAAGTATCAGACAGGAGACTGGCTCCAATGTACAAGTTGAATTTTAAGGCTTTGACCTCCAACATAAGAGAGGGAAAAACATGTTCCAAAAGTCACTTCATCATACAGTGAAGTGTGTCGTATTTCCAGGAAATGCCTGTAGCTGCTGCTTCGCAGAGCAGAAAACAAGTCAAGCCAGCTTCAAAGGGCCTTCTTTTTTCAAGCAAGCCTAAGCACACCAAGAGAAAGGGTGGGGAGAACCTAACTGCTCCCATTGTTTTCCACCCATTCTACAATACGGCAAGGTGCATCCTGCAACCAGCATTATCCAAAATAAGCCAGCTGAGAGGAGTAATTAACCGGCTAGATCAACTGAATTTTAAAACTTCTGGTAGATTAAAAAAGATCAAAACGATCTTTATCTCACATTGTATCATGCCACTCTGTGTGGCCTTGGGGGCAAGTTGCACAATCCCAGGGTGGCCCCAGGAGAGGGGAAGGGTAAACCACTTCTGCGTCTTCTCTACCTAGAAAAGGGTCACCATATGTCAGAACTGACTTGATGGCATATGATTACGATGATGCTTGTAGCAGTAAAGCTCTGCTATGAGCAGCACATGATTGGAAGGTTAAATATGCAAGCAGAGTATTTTATGACACCACAGCATCACGGCCAGAGAGGCACAGAAAGTAGATGTCTTCCGGTAGATCTCTAGTTGATTTGCGGTAGATCAGTAAGTGTTTCTGATTCCCAGTGTTAAGGAAAAAAAGCTCATGCCCATCAACATACATGCGTATGTGTGTTATGTGCCATCAAACTGCATCTGACTTATAGAGTTTTCAAAGTAAATTACATATTTAAGGAATGGTTTTTAAACAGTTCCACCCCCCTCTGTGAATTTAAATAGCTGAGCAAGGATTCAAACGTAGGTCTCCAGACTCCTAGTCCATCATTCTACCGGGTTTCCCCAAAAATAAGACAGGGTCTTATATTAATTTTTGCTCCAAAAATGCATTAGGAGTTATTTTCAGGGGATGTTTTATTTTTTCATGTACAACAATCTACATGTATTCAAATACAGTCATGTCATCTTCTGGTTGCTACACAAGGGTGGAAGGTGGGGTTTCACTTAACTGGGACTTAGTCTTGGGGTATGGCTTATATTACAAGCATCCTGAAAAATCATACTAGCGCTTATTTTCAGGTTAGGTCTTATTTTCGGGGAAACAGGGTATCTACTGCACCCCACTGGTTTCTGCCCATCAACATGCTCCTTGTACATGAAGCTCCTGAAACAGACTGAAGTTTAGAAGAGAAAAAGAGGATATGTGACAGGACTAGAAATTCAGTTATGTTAATGAAAGCACTGCTGGGAAGTACACCTTTGTTCCATTATTGCAAGAGCACACTGACCCCCTTCATTCCTCTTCCCAAATGGCCAGGAATGGTTGGCTTTTGAGTTTTAGATTTTTAAAAAGGAAAGGGAAGAGGTTAAAAAAACCCACAGCCTTGCAAGACAAATGTTGGTCTGCCTGATTCAGGTGACTTTGCACCAGATATTCAATGACAGTTCCAAAAACTGCTCCTAAGCTTGTCATCATGTAATCTATCAAATGACTTTCTATCAGAAGTCCCAAAGTCTTAAAATGAGGACAGTCAACTAATTATAGGAGGCAGGGAGGAAACAAAAAACAACAACAAACAAAAGAGGACACGGGGAATTCGAGCGCTGATCATAGCCCATGCATGGTTACTCAGAAGTAAGTTCCATGTAGGCCAGGAAGGCTTATTTTTTGGTGTGTTTTTTGTTTTGTTTTGTTTTTCCAAACTACCACAGCCTCTTAGGATCAAAGCAGGGGAGAGGGAGACAGAGTAGCAAGGACTCCTTGTTTCCCCTTACCCTCAGATGAGACAAAGGTAGCATGTCCTGTAATTGGGCATACGTGTAGTTAAAAAGGGAGTAAACTTGCCTTGACACCATTCCATTTTGGGACTGCCATGACAGCCAGACTCCTATCACTGCCTAGAATACTATGGATTGATAGAGAAATACTGTGACCTAGTGGATGACTGAATTCCAGCACACCTCACAGACTCTTTCCTGTAGACAAATGGTTTTCAATACAGTATCTGGCCCTTCTGATGTCTTGCCCTCCAACTCTCACAATTCCCTGCCAATGTCTGTGGTGGCCGAGGCTTCTGGGAGGTGAAGTCCAAAACACCCCAAAAAGTCTAAGAATGTAAGACCCATTGATGTAGGTATCAGATGACTAGTTTTCACACTGAAAGGGCTGTATAAAGGCATCCAAATGGGTAGTAAACATTATGAGCATTCAATCAATAAAGCAGGGTTTTTATCCCATGCCCCCTTTCCCCTATCCCTACACCTAACCCATTAAAAAAATCAGGGTGGATTTGATTTAAATGACAATTTAAATCTTAAATATTGATTTTTTTAAAATTTAAATTGTGATTTAATTCAATTTGATTTTTTACAAAATCCTTCCTACAATAAATAATAGATTTAGAAATGTCATGGCATGGAATTTCAAATTACTTTGGTACAGAAACTAGCGCTACTTACGGTATTTCCACAGCAACTAAAAGAACGAGGTAACCAGAAAAAGCAAAGCAATTGTTTTCATTTAAGAGGGCATCTTTACAAAGAGAAGTCCCACTTTCTTCAGGTGGTTAAACACGGCTTATTTTAATAAACATTAGGATGAAATTAGACTTGGGATTAACCCTAAAAACATGGCATCACACTACAGAGTGACCTGCAGTGAAATGAGCAAAGAGAAGTGATACACAAGGGCTAACCTGTGCATAATTTCTGCCAGGAAGTTCAAAGTTCAAATGTCATTTCAGCCATGAATTTAGCTGGCAACCTCAAGCAAATCCCTCAGCTTCTGCCTCCCCCGTCTGTAATGAGGAGATGGAAATGTTGACCTACTTTTCTTGTCATAAGAATTAGAGTGGTGAATATGAAGTTCTTCCAGCGCTTAGGAAGACTGTTGTAAAAATGGTAATAGCTACGCATGTGTGTGTCCGTACACAAATATGCCTGTGCATTCACCTCACAGTGCTTTTATGGACAGCACTACTGGAAAGACTGTGCATCTCTTTTTAAAATAATTATCTGGATACTATAACTGGTGCTCATCATGATCACCCTAAAGAAACTCAGGACACATACAGTGCCTCAAAATGGCTCTGGTTTGTGAACTCCCAATAGCAAACATTTGCTAGCCAAAAACAGAAAACTAGAATCTGTCCATCACTCTGAAAAAGGTGGGGAAGGGATTTCCAAAAGAAGGCAACCGTAAGTCCTCTCCTACAGAGACCTGGGTTCAAGTCCTCACTAGCAATTTTGGACCAGTCAATCACTCCTGCAGGGGAAAACGGGCTGTGTAATAACACAAACAACACCTCGTAAGAACTCTTTAAAGGAGACCCTAGAAATCACACTGACCTGCCTGTCACCTTCACATCCTTATAGAGCATAATCAAGATCACAGCACTGCAAGCAAATTTAATTGCCCTATTACCACCCTTTATATTATAATACTGTATAAAGTTTACACCAACACATCAGGATAATTAAGTGATTAGCAGAGTGTATCATGCTTTTTCAGTGAGATAGGTGGCATATAATTAGCCATCCAGTATTTTAAAAAGAAATGCTAGCACATATTACGGTTTAAGCAAGTTTGCTGTGAAATCAGAAAGTCTCCAAATCTCAGCAGTTCTGTAGTACGACAGAGAAAGATTTTTCCAAGACACAGGAACAACTGTTACAGTAAGTGCCATGATGGAGCCACCCAGTCAGGGCACCCCAGTGCCACCGTCTGCAATACATGGGATGATTAACAACTAGCCTACCTTCCAGTGAGCAAGCACTGTTGGAAAGACTAGTAAAATAATGTAAACGGACCATATGGGGCACTCTAAAAATGACACATCAACCCTATGGGCAAAAAATTTTTTTGCTGAGTGTAGTAAATTGCACTAGAGTAGGCCCACTGAATCAATGAGAATTCAGCGGGTCAATTCTTGTCAGTTCCGTGGATCTTCTCTCACGGCAACTTACTACGCGAAAGCAAGTCACCGTTAGAGGAAGCCCATTTGAATCAAGGGAAATTATGGAGAAGTTGCCTTACCGTGGATCGCACGGGCCTGCTACTCGACTGCGCCGTACAATACTAAACCACAGGCATACGGTACATACAAACTCGCCCCCCCCGGATCACATACCGGGTGGGGCCCAATCACCGATGACCCACCGACCCCTAAAATATCCCCTCCCCCTCCATTAATCCCGTTTTAAGATCTTTAACGGAAAAAAGAAATCCGAGGCGGATAGAGTAAGGCAGTCCTCCTCCTCCTCCTCCTCCTCCTGACACCTGAGGCAGCGGGTGCAAAAGACCGGCCCTCCACTTACCGCCTCCATGATCATCTCCGCCGGCCGCTCTCCGAGAAGGGGAGGCAGCTCCCGCTAGAGTGGCCGCCCTGGGGGCCGGCCAGAATTTCCGCCTGGAGGCATCCCTGCCCTCACTTCCGCCAGTACGGAAGGACACGTGGGCGGAAGTGGGGTTTTTTTTAAGTGACGCTTTACACCGCACAGCTCCGAATAAGAGCGAGTTTCGAGTGCTTGGATTGCTCCCTATCCCCATCGCACGGAGGCCGATTTAGCTAAGGAAACATTACAAGCCTTCCAGATTTTCTGAAGGGGAGACTAGTTTCCATTTTTCTTGCTTGTGTATAGGATTGGAGCGTTTGTTTTGTGCGGTTAAATGTGACATTTAGCACGAAAGAAGACATTATTCTCGGTTTCTCCGGGGCTTCCTACCGGTTGTTGTCTCTTTTGCATCGCTGTTGGGATGTGGAATGGCGCCAAAAGTAAGCAGGAGGTCGTATCTTAACAACAATCAGTATCTTAGAACTGGAGAGCTGGAAGGGACCTTTTTGGGGGTTATACGAGAGTCCCGCTCTTGCCCAGGAAGGTGCAGCGGGGAATCAAACGTCCAACCTCTAACCCAAACCACAGCAGCGATGAAGTAATACCGGTTGTGGTTTGAGAAGAGGTAGCCGTGTTAGTCTGTGCAAGCTTATCAGGCAAAATCCAAAGACTAACTATTGTATTTTAATGTGAGCTTTCGCGGACAAGTCCACTTCATCGGATATATGTGATAAAAGTGAAATACTGGATGAAATACCATTCACAAGTAAACATCCATTGGCTTTCTCCCCACCCCCATGTCTGATAAACTGGACTTGTCCACGAAAGCTCATATTAAAATATAATAGTCTTTAAGGTACCATGTGCTTTTGTCCTTTTTATTTTGTTTCTTGGAATTTTGCCTGAAAACTGGACTTGTCCACGAAAGCTCATATTTAAATATAATAGTCTAAGGTACCATGTGCTTTTGCCCTTTTAATTTTGTTTCTTGGAATTTTGCCTGGAAGTGCTATTGGTATTCAATAAACCATGATTAAATTTACTACTGTTATGTTGTGTCCCCTCAAGTTTGAACCAACTTTTAGTGACCCTAACAAGGGCATTAAAGGAATGGTTTAAATAGTTCCATACTCTCTCACATGAGTTTCTGTTTTTAAAGGGGAACTCAAGCCCAAGCCTCCTAGTTCAGACCTGGGCAAAGTGCAGTCCGAGGGCCACATATGGCCCGTGAGCCACTCCTGTCCGGCCCGCGGACAGTTTTTAACATCAAAACCATTTATACCTTTTTGTCTAAAGTTGATCAGTTGCTTATCTTTAACATACCGCAAAAAACCTCTTTAGTATTTGTGAAGATTAACAAGTTTAAAATAAAAACAATCATAACATCACTGTTTCATTTTATTTTTAAGTAAAGTTGGTTTGGCCCCCGAACACAGTTCAGATTTTTCATGTGCCCCCCCCATAGAAATTAGTTGCCCACCCCTGTCCTAGTTGGTCACTATCCACTGCACCAGGCTAGGTATTATAACTCTGGTCTAACTTCAGAATAAAGATGGCCCTAAATAAACAGTTCCTTTTAAAATTAGAGATTCATGAGCAACCTGTTATAGGTAATTTCTACAGGTATGGCCCTGCAGCAAAGCCAAGAATGAGGCATCCGGTATTTAAAGGCAAACAGATTTACTCTACCTCAGCTTTTATAGCCTATATCCCACCGTAATCAGACAAATCCAAATTAAATATAAAAAGCAAGAACATGGTAACACCTTGAAGACTAACTTTTATATTTCAGTATAAACTGTCATGGATTAGTCCACTTACAATATATAGACAGATGTAGGGAGATGACAGGGACTATTTGAGCAGGGAATGTGGCGAACACCAAGGGAGCTTTCACATTGGAAAACCCAAATCTGCAGAAAATCCTTTTGGCAACATTACATACCGTAATTCTGCCCCCAACTGGATTGGGATATACTAACCTGTTGTAGGCAAAGACTGTGTTGATTTTTTTCTTCCTGGGGGATGGGTGTGGAGCAGAATGGGATGGCTAAACTCCTGAACATAATTAGTAAGGTATAGGCTTCCTGAAGGAAGGGATGTGGTGGCGCTGTGGGTTAAACCGCAGAAGCCTCTGTACTGCAGGGTCAGAAGACCTGCAGTCGTAAGATCGAATCCACCCGACCGAGTGAGCGCCTGTCGTTTGTCCCAGCTTCTGCCAACCTAGCAGTTCGAAAGCATGTAAATGTGAGTAGATAAATAGGTACCATCTCGGTGGGAAGGTAAACAGCGCTCTGTGTCTAGTGGTGCTGGCCACGTGACCACGGAAACTGTCTTCAGACAAATACTGGCTCTACGGCTTGGAAACAGGGATGAGCACCACGCCCTAGAGTCAGACACGGCTGGACTAAATGTCAAGGGGAACCTTTACCTTACTAAGCTTCCTGAAGGAAGCAGAAAAAGAGGAAGACTAAACATGGGATGGATTGACTCCATAAAGGCAGCCACAGACATCCGTTTGCAAGAGCTAAGTTGAGCTGTTATTGATAGGACATTCTGGAGGTCAATCATTCATACGGTCGCCATAACTTCAAAGTGACATGGATTGACTCCATAAAGGAAGCCACAGACATCCATTTGCAAGAGCTGTTATTGATAGGATATTCTGGAGGTCAGTCATTCATACGGTCGCCAAAGTGACGTGATAACACATAACAGTGATAAAGCCCCCACTGAACACAGTTGTGCTCTTACTCATCTAGGACACCAAGAAATTTTAGAAGCAGTGGTGGTAATAACTACAACATCAAAAAGCTTTCTCATTACAAGGAACAACGTGCAGAGAGGTTTGAAATCTGGCAGCGCTTCTGTCAGAAACCAAAGCTGTTGTCCAGTTGAACTTCTACCAAGCAGAAAGTTCCACCAGTATAGTAATCATGCCATTTGTATCCATATCGCCATTGTGGCAGCTGTAATCTCTTCCTTGGCACAAAGGCTTTGTTGAAGACAATGGGGCTTTTTCTGGCCTGCATGCCAGTAATTTGCAAATGGCCTACTGTTACAAAGCAAGAAACTGAGTTATCAAAAGGTTTTTTGGACAAGGGGCATCTTGTGGGCCGAGCAAGGATACCTAATACCAGAATTTGGGGGGAGCTCTGTTCATGAGTTGCTTGTGGTTTTAAAGCATATTTCCCACCACTACCAAGTCCTGCCCACGGTGTCCCCTTATCACGTACTGCATGAGCTGCCTTCCTAAATGCCATTTGAGGGGAGGGGTGGCTAATTGTGTGTGTGTGTGGATACTGTATTTCATTATAGCAGTATTTATTTCATCTTTTAATCATTTAAAAACAAAGCAAAGTGTGCTAATATACTACCTTATAATACTTAAAGCACTGTCTGGGTGGTTTACAATTCAATTATGCAGACTACACATTTCAACCCCCCCCCTCCCCCTGGTGCGCTGGGTACTCAGTTTACCAACCCTGGAAGGATGGAAGGCTGAGTCAACCTTGAGCCAGCTACCTGAGCCTGGGATCATACCCGGGGCATGAGTGCAGTCTTCACTGCAGTACTGGAGTTTAACCACTGTGCCACGAGGCTCCTTTATTTTAATTTATTTCATATCTCTTATTTCTATGCCACATTTCTTCCTACCAAGGACCCAAGGCAGCTCATACACAATTAAAACTGTATAACAATCACAGGTAAAAATATCATTACAAAGCATTCTAAAAACTAAACATCTATCGATATTAAAACCGCCATTAAAAACATTTTTAGAAACATTTAGTAAAAACATTTAAAGAGGAGGTATAAGAACAGGCAGCCATGCTGATCTGTTTCAGCTTGTATAACGAAAATAACAGTTTTTAAAAAAGGAAAATTTCTTTTAGCTTTTCAAAAGCCACATTATATATTTGTTTTTTATTGTTTTGTTTTTGCGATGCCTGGGTGCTTCACTCACTCATTCACTGCAAACGCAGGGAACTAACTGCCTGTTGCAACTCTGCGGGGAACCCCTGCTCCAGAACATCCTCTTATAAGATTTAGGAGACCTTGGCCAAGAATCAGCCAGAATCACGAGCGGTGAGATCTTCCCATTCCTTGTTCTTGGACACGCTTTCCGAGCGTTGCCTTCAGAGATCAAACTTCAAACTCAAGCCGCGCTGCGTCGCCGGCTGTTTCCCCGCCCAGGCGAAGGGCCGGGCAGAGCATCACATGTTTCAGGTCAGGCGGACCGAGAGGAGAACCCGCCTCTTTCCCTAGGAAGGTTGAAGGAAGGGGCGCGCGCCGTCAATCAATGAGCGGCCAGCTGAGATCCAGAGGGGGTTGTGGCGTCGCTGGACTCACGCCCGCCAGCCTCCGACGGGAGACCAACCGGTAAGTGAGAAGCGGCAATAATAGGGAACGGGGTTCTCCCTTTCCGGCCGCCGGCCAACTGATCGAAGCTCAGGCCAGGGGTATTGCTCAGGTTGTCTCAGGGCGGCGACTCACCTTAAAATCGCTGATGAATTGAAATCCTGCTGCCCTGCCCAGCCTGGGAGAGTAGAAACGGGGGAGCTGGCGGGAGCAGCGGCAAAAAGGAGCGATTGCAAAGTTTCTGATCCGGCAGCGATGGCGTTAATGTGACGTGGCACAGGGGAGGACTGATCCTCTTGTGGGAGAGGATGCTTATGCGGGGCTCCGTCCGGCGTGGAGAGTGAAGGGGTAGCTTACGTGGCTGTCCCACGCTGAACAGCCTCCCCCCCCCCCGTTGAAGAGGAAAAGGGTGATGCTTGAGAGACGGGGTGGCTCCCTGGTTAGAGTTGATGCGCTGCACAGGCTGACGCGAGTCTCACGGGGGCCATTAAATGCCCCAGGTGGCCTTTGACCAGTTATTGCCTCTCAGCCTAGCCATCCTTGCAAGGGTGTTGGGAATATAAGGGGAAGGAGGTGGGGGATGCATGGCCTTGAATTCAGAACAGGGGAGGTTGCCTAGACATGTCAACATTTTTAGGACACTTTCAGGGAATAACAGGGACTATGAAATGCCTGATTCAAAAATGCTGAAGGTTCTATAGAATCTCCATCTTCTCTTACACACTTGCACATTAGACAACAATTTTAGCAGCTAGTTGGAAGGCAAATCCCACCCCACTTCCTTCAGTTGTGTTTCCCCCTCCCCCTCTTTTCCTCCCACCATCAAAATGGACCAGTCTCATCTTCTGGTGGAAATCTCCCTCCTACACTGTCTTGTGTTTGTACCTAAAACACCAAAGAAAGGGTTGACAAGGTTGTACTCCTTCGTGTTATGTTTAATCCTCTACTTCCCCCCTAGCTATGTTTGACAGTGTACCTTTTTTATTATCATAGGTAATTAGATGTGCCAGGATACTGGGCATGGTTGACACAAGGGAATTTCCTGCCACTGCCTTGGTACACATCCGTAGACCTGAGGTGCCAGTTTTAAGAAGCTCCAGTGGCAGGCTTTGAAGAACTCACAAAACATGGCCGCTAGCAAACCATTATGTTATAATTTGCACTAAGTATACAATTCTATTCAAAATCTTTGTGCCTTTGCTATTGATCACTAGATTTCATTTAATTCTGTGTACTTTCTCAGGCAAGGCAGACAACTTGCCAGAGTTGGGGGGGGCTCCAGAGGGACCACACCCAACAACAGCCAATGAAATTGCTCATCGTCGTCTAGTCATTTAGTCGTGTCCGACTCTTCGTGACCCCGTGGTGAATGAAACTGCTATTGTGGCCCAAATTCTATCCATTGTGTTGGGATGCATGGCACACAAGAAGTGGACAATTTAGTTCCACTTTATTTCCAGCAGAACTGTGCTCCTGAAAGCCCTCTGGGAATATAATTCTTCTGAGAAACAAGATATTTGCTCTCTATGTATCATGTTTCCTGGTGGAATCACTGGAGATTTTATTGTGTTTGTGGCAGAAAGTGCTGGAGAGTACACCATAGCGACTGTCAGGATATCCCCATATATGGGAGGAACCCACCTGCCTAGCAATACTCACTCTCTGGGATCCCAATTTCATAGTTTATTGGCCAAGGTGAGGCTTAAGGTGGCCATTGCATCTGGAACCTTTCTGTCTTACAACATCTGTCACACTTTTCCCCCTTTCTTCCTTTCCCTGCCCTAGACCATGGCAGCTCTTCTGAAGAGCCTGCTTGCAGCCTCAGAGAAGGCAGCCAGGATTGCCCAGCTGTGTCGCCAAGAAGAAGCCCTCTTTAGCTTGCTCATTGAGGAGAAGACAGGCGTGGACAAGAACAAGAAGTTTCTGCAGGACTTCAAGACTTTGGCAGATGTGCTGATCCAAGAAGTCATCAAGCATGATGTGGGAAAGAAGGTACATGCTGGGCAACGAGCCCCTTGTCCCTGGACGGAATGTGTCCCACAGCAGTTCTGGCTCAGGGATTTACCAGATACTAGAGGCAGAGGAATTAACGCCTTCTGGTCTGCCTCTTTATGTTAACATATGTTCCAAGTTTCACCCTTTTCCACCACTTGAGCAGACCACTGGGAATGAACCATGCAGAATTGGCCAACCAGCATAGCCATGGGCCAGACTGACTGGGAATTATGGGAGCAGTAGCTAAAAAGAATACTTCTAAGGTGTGGAAAGCACACAAGAGGGGTGCCTGCTAGTATTTCCTGTATAGACAGCACTGTGAGCCATGTCATCCCTGCTGCGCTGCTGAGCAGGAGATAGGAGAGGTAGGAGCTGTTGCTGCTTTCTCTTGCTTACGCGTTGCTAGAGGTGTATAGATTTTATTTATTTTTGGACTGCAAGTCCCAGAATAGTCCAGCCAACTACTGTAGATTATTTGTGTTTTTTGGATCACAACTCCCCCAATTCCCTAGGCAGAAGAGTATTTGTGTTTTTTGGACTAGAACTCCCAGAATTCCCCAGGCAACAGATTCATGTTTTTTGGGGTTACAAATCTGAGAATTCCCCCAGTGGTGGATGTGTGTTTTTGGACTACAGCTCTCAGAATTTCCTAGGCAGCTATGCAGGTCTCCACATATTCTGCCGCCTGCCAGCCTGCTGAAATAACCGAGTTCAGGAGAGGCATTGCCGGGTAGCAATCCTGACTCATTTGTGTGACTAAGCAGTATTCATTTTTCTCTCTCTGTGCCCCACTCAATTCCGTTTCTGTTTTGCTGTCTTTCTCTTTCTGGTCATCTGTCAGTTTCCAGAACTGCAAGATCATATTCGTGGGGAGGAGTCCAACAAATTTGAAAACGGCCTTGGTGAGTTAAAGGTGCCCTTGAGTGATGAAAGAGGGCGAAGGATTCATCCGTCCCCAATAAATCCTTGCAAACTAACCTATTGGACCATGACCGGTTCTGCCGTCCTCTACCTCCACACAGCCTGATGGTTCTTTGTGTTTGAAACGGGCTGCCTGTTTTATCCATCGAGCCACTTCTTTCCCCCACCTCCCTCACCCTCCAGAGGAATAATCTATTGGCCTAAATGCTGGTTTTCCCAAACTGGCCAAACATATCCCATGAGACCCCCAGGAGCAGAACAAAATCTTAACATGGTGCTGAAAGGATAAGGCCCGGCGGGTCTCACTAAGGAGAGCATTCGGGAGGTATGGGGCAACAAGGCTGGCAATACCTTCGGTTGCTTTGTTCTGAGCCTCTCTTGGCAGAGACGCTATAGGAAGCCAGAAGTGTCACTCCTGAAATATGGCCCACTTTATTTGGTCAGGCCTTGGGTTCCCAGGTGGTATAAGGCTGTGTAGATTAAAACCAGTGTTTTGAATTTGGTCCAGAAAGGTATCTGCGTCACTCCTGAAATATGGCCCACTTTATTTAGTCAGGCCTTGGGTTCCCAGGTGGTGTAAGGCTGGTGTAGATTAAAACCAGCGTTTTGAATTTGGTCCAGAAAGGTATCTGTGACCAGTAAGGCTAGAACAGAACAGATATCATATCCATCTGGTTCCTATCATCAGGCTGACACCTATATTGTACACACGTTGCAGTTTCCAAACTGTCTTCAAAGGCAGTCCCATGTGCGGCACACCGCAGTAGTCTAATCTGGGGGTTACCAAGGCGTAGCTCATGATAGCTAGGTGATCCATGTCCTGATAGTGAATTATCCCTCCATGCCTTAAATAATGTAGAAGAACAGCCAAACCACCCCATCCAGAATGGAGTGAATACGACGTCTGTGGTCAGAAGAAGCACCCATGAGCAATATCCTAGCCTTGTCAGTTTATTGGTCTTAATTGGGGCCATGGTTGCAGCCAGGCACTAATTCAGCACATCCAGAGCCTCACCTACTGAATGAAGGGAGAAATGGAATTCCATGTCGTCCTCAGATGAATGAACAGTATATTGTGGAACAATGCCACCACCTACTTGGCATCTTCAAGTAGATGTTAAATAGCATCAAATGGCCGGTTGGTAGTGTTTCTCTGCCTTTCTAAAATGCATGTTGTCAATATTCAAACCATGGGTATCCTGAGAGGAACTGTTGCTCCCTTTTCCATTATTGGGGGGGGGCACAGAGCTGTCAAAATGTTCAGTGCCGACTCTAGTTACTTCCTTTTGCCCAGGAGAAGAGGGAGCCGTCTTCTTTCCCCAACAGGGGAAAGAAGGGAGGAACCTTCTAGCCTGCCTGAACCTTGTGTGCTTTGTAGGGGAGACGGTGGTGGTGCAGGTTTGCCCAACCCAAGAAGGAACAGCTGCCCTCCTGCAGAAGGTCCTGGATCGGAAGCAGACAGCTGCTGAGCTCCTGGCTGCCACCGTGCATCAGGAGGTGGTGCTTTCAGACCCGTCCCTAGAGGAGGTGTCTGTGATGGTCTCCCCAGAGAACCTGGCAGTGTGGATTGATCCCATAGGTAAGTCAGCAGGTAGGAAAGGGCGTGTCTGTTTTTTTTCCCCTCTCTGTTGGCCCAATGGTTATTGATGGGAGTTGAATACCTTCCCAGGCTTCTCTAGCTGAACATCAGAAACCCCCAGCACACATGAGTCCGCCTGTCTGTCCATATTCCCCAGTACTATATCTTCTGACTGGCAGTGGCTCTCAGGTGAGGATCTTTTCCCTTCCTCATTCCTCAAACCTTTTCATGAAATCAGAGGTGGCTGGGATTCAATCGGGGACCTTCTTTACACAGAAGACATAGGCTGCCCTGCCAGTCCAGTTATAGGGAAAGTGCCACTGGTGACACCTAGGGATCACCCAGGTTTTTAAACCGTTCCCAGTGCCATGGAGTGCCTCGTCCAGATCCCACCCAGCCCCCCATGGGCAGCAAGTACTGCCAACAAGTAGGGAAAGGGCCCCCCCAGGAGGTAGCGCTCTGAACCTGCTGTGCTCCTCCTGAGGCTGAGCCTGGCAAAGGGCATTCCCTTTCACGAGTTCTCTCACTTCAGATTCCACCAATCAATACATTCGTGGGTGTGGCAATGTGCAGCCCGTGGACGGCATCTTTCCATCAGGACTGCGCTCTGCATTGGTGTTGATCGGGGTATACGACCGGCAGTCGGGCCAACCGGTCCTAGGCATCATTAATGAGCCCTTCTTCCAAGAAGAGCTGCCAACACACAGGTAAAATGACAGTGTCGGATAACAACAGCAATCTTAGAACTGCAGAGCAGGAAGAGACCCTACGGATCATCCAGTCAGGCCTTTGCCCAAGGAGTTACAGTGGGGGAATTGAACTCCCAGCCTCTGGCTCTGCAGCCAGAGACCTGAACCGTTGAGCAGTCCAGCTGTTCGATGCTCTCCCAGCCTCTGGCTCTGCAACCAGAGACCTGAACCGTTGAGCAGCCCAGCTGTTTGATGCTCCTGCACTGGAGGGCTAGTTTGGCCACTGAACCAAGTCACCGGTTGCTTAGCTGCCTTATAAAGGAGGGCTGGCCGGCCAAAGGGTTGCCTACAGCTTACATCCAGCACCAGGCCCATTTTTTTTCTGTGTCCCTACATCCTTCACTTGTTTTAATTGTGAAAAGGGCACACATTTTACTCAACAAATGTCCATGTGGTCTTGCTTGAGAGGTCCATAGGTCCCCTGGCCAGTCTTCTGTCTGGAAGTACTATAAGGCTTATGTGTGTGCCATAGAGATGACACTGTTGAAGTGAGAGTCTAGCTGCCAGCTCTGTTTGCTTCTGTATGTGCAATGGGGGGAGGGCAGTGCTCTCTTATCCTTTGTCTCAGGCTGCAAAATGCCTTGATCTGCATCTGGGCTTACCCCCCCCCCATGAGGCCCTTTGCTCTGATATAGCTGTTCCTTTTTGTAGCTACTCAGCCTAATGCAGAAGCCTTGATCTGTTATCATTCTCAGTTCTATTTGTATGCCGCATTTCTCCCAACAAAGGGACCCAAGGCGGCTCACAGCATTACAATTCATGCAATTAAAACACAATTAGTTAAATAATCGCATTAAAATTCACACAATTAAAACACAATGAGTTAAATAATATGTGGTTTACAATAAAATTAAAAGATTAAAACATAGAATCATGAAAAAAATTACAATTATCTGCTAAAATGGGATTCAGGGATTCAGTCATATTTGTTAAAAGCCTGTCTTTGGCTTTTCTCAATAGGATAAAAGGGAAAGGGCCACCCTAATCTCCAAAGGGAGAGCGTTCCATAGCCTGGGAGCTGCCCCAGAGAAGGCCCTCTCCCGTGTCCCCATCAGCTGTGCTTGTGCTGGCAATGGGACCAAGAGGAGGACCTCCTCTGCTGATCTTAATTGCCGAGAAGGCGCATATAGGGAGATACGGTCCTTCAGGTAGCCTGGACTCAAGCTGTGTAGGGCTTTATAGGTAATGACCAGCTAAATTGGGCCCAGAAATGGACTGGTAGCCAGTGCACTTCTTATAACACTGGCTGCAGAGTTTTGCACCAGCTGAAGTTTCTGAACCATCTTCAAAGGCAGCCCCACATAGAGTGTGTTACAGTAATCCAAATCTAGCCCACGTCAGCCCTCGGAGGTCATTCAGAGCAGATCAGAAGAACTATGAGGGAGCCACCAGTAAGCACGGCCAGTGGTTATTTTCCCAGCCTGTGGATCTGATCACACCACATGTCCCTGTGCACACATTTGCACCACAGGCTAAGAAGATGCTACATCTCGCTCATGGCCATCGATCAAGAGGCTAGCTCTCAAATATGCTGATTCCAGTAGTAGTTTCATAGGGTACAGTTCCTGCCCCTTTCTCCAAGTCCTCCTCCTCCTTATCCATCCTATCCCATCCCCTTTTCCAAGAGGTACTTTATCTTCTAAATGCAGGCAACATTGAATTGCCATCGTAGATACTTGCTGGCTATTTGTGCAACCTTGATGCAGCAAACCATTTTTAGGGGACAGGGCAAATGGAAACCCCTGCTGATGCCTCAAAACAGTTAGTTGCAGGTGTTCTTCTTCACCAGCTTGGTTTGACTCCTTCTCTGTTTTGCAGGTGGCAAAGCAGATACCACTGGGGCCTCTCCTACGGCAGCACCAACTTGTGCTCGCTCAGCCGGCCCCCACTGCAGCCTTCCCCGCGTGTGGTGCTGAGCAGCAACGAGAAAGAGGCCCTGCAGAAGACCTTGGCTGCTCTCTATGGGGAGAGGCTCTGCTTCGCCTCAGGGGCTGGCTACAAGATGCTGTGCGTAGCCTTGGGCCTGGCTGACGCCTACGTGCTCTCAGAGGGCAGCACCTTCAAGTGGGACTCCTGCGGGCCCCATGCCATCCTGCGGGCCCTCGGTGGAGGGATGGTGGATCTTTCGGGGGCCTTGCAAGCCTGGCGGGCTGGGCAACGCAAGCAGCTGCCTGAACTGACCTACAACAAGCCCATCGAAGGCTCTCTGGGTGCTGAGCGCTGGGCCAACCAAGGGGGCCTTGTGGCCTACGTCTACCATGAGCATCTAGAGGCTGTGCTGGCCACTCTGGCAGCGTCAGCAGATGATACCTTCTGAAACTCCTGCCCTGGAGGGTGGGGGCGTGTAGCTTGGCCAGGGCATTTCTCTCTCTCTCTCTCAGTCTCACTCTCACTCTCGTAGGAGAAAAATGAACCAGTCACTAGGCAAGGAACTTTATGACTCCAATTTCTTTGATTCCTGTGGGGACCAGTCAGTTTAGGTTATTGGTACAATAGAGGCAATATGGCAGAATGGGATATGGTTGTCATGAATGCTGGACCCGTGCCATTTGCCTTTTCTCTGACGAATCATTGAAAATTGTACCTCCAGTGTAGAGGGGGCACTGAAGATGGGGTGCGTGTCCTAAATTGCCCCCGTCTTTCCTGGTGTGTTGGTCCTCTTGCACGGGTAATAAGCATTGTGGGAAGCACAGGAGAGATCCGGTAAGAGTGTTGCATCATTTCCATTCATCGTTGCTCCGACCTTTACTGCCTCTGGCATCTCACGGAGTGTGAGGTGCCCGTCTCATCTTTGTCTCCTCAAGCCATTTGCTGCGCAGCCAGACATTCGTGGGGGCTTCTGCCTCTCTACCTGATGCACAATATCTGGCTTATGGAGCTTTATATTTAATACAATGAAAGATAGGCCAGTAGCACCCTTGAGCCTCTGCTTAGAATATGGATGGGAAAGGAGAGCCCACCCTCTCTCAAGATATTCTGTAAGAAAATAAGGTCAGTTACAATGAGGTCACTAAAGACTAGGCAGTCATCAGATCCCTTCTGTTTCCTTGAGGAGTGTCCATACCAGACCTTTACTTGCCTGTCTTTGAGGACATACCCCTTTGATGGAGTAGTTCTGTGGTAGATAAGGTGAGTGCTAGGATGGGGATGGCTTATGGAAAATTCCTTCAGATTCTTTGGAAGGAGTCGTATGAATCGAACAAATGTAACATCGACATAGGTAGGTAATGGGAATATACCGTAATCTGTGTTCTGGGAATCCCAGAGCTTCCCTTCCCTGTCAAGTTGGGGTTGATGTTTTGTGATTTTGTAGGTCCAGAATTTTGTGCACGCTCAATGAAGCAGATGCCCTAGAATGTCTTTTATTTCCAAAGCAGCAGCCCTTCGTGACTTTTGAATTCTATCTTCAAAACAGGCAGCGCTCAGCAAGAGTTCAGAGAGCAGAAAAGAAAGCCTGGCCATCTGCCGTCCAGTCCTTGCTCCACAGCTGCTGAGATCTCATGGTTGCAGCAAAGGCGTGGGCAGACATCAGCTTTGTAGGATTTAATTCGTTATTTTATTATTAGAACCCCCTAAGTCCTAGCAGGGCTAGGTGCCAAACGGCGGGTCTGAAGTGCAGGGAGGAAGCCATATGCTGTTAGAAGTAGAGAACAGGTTGTCGGCTCAGCTCAGGAATTTGTTTTCAGTGGCAGAACTGATTCCTCAGTCCTGACTCACTCACTCACTCAGACACGCGCATGCATGCATGCACTGTACGTCTGAATCTAATTTCTCTCCCAAGCCGTCTTACACTGTGATCAGGTGAGGCAATGCCCCATATGTGGGGCCACCTGTGCTGCCATCTAGTGAAAGCCTTCCCTGGCAGTCACACAATGTATGGACCATAGCCATCCATCCTGACCTCAACCCGTGCCCATGATGAAGCTTTTTGGTCCAGTGGCAGGGCTACTGGGTTTGTTTTGGGGAGGGAGGGGAGAAGCTAGAGTGATTCCTGCCTGGAAATATGGTCCTGCATATGTTTATTCAGAAGTATTCGTGAAGGCTTTTATGGCCGGGATCTAATGGTTGTTGTGGGTTTTTCGGGCTCTTTGGCCGTGTTCTGAAGGTTGTTCTTCCTGACGTTTCACCAGTCTCTGTGGCCAGCATCTTCAGAGGACGGCACTCTGCTCACCAGAACACAGAGTGCTGTCGTCTGAAGATGCCGGCCACAGAGACTGGCAAAACATTAGGAAGAACAATCTTCAGAACACGGCCAAAGAGCCCGAAAAACCCACAACAACCTTTATTCAGAAGGGTTGCTTTAAGGGAGGTTGCTCCCTGCAAAGGAAACTTTTCCTGTCGGACCCTTTCTCACTATCTGATCACAACTGAATTTAAAAAGAAGGAAGGTATATTTTTTTTTCCTGTCTGTTAGTTGTGGGGATCAGAGAACCTTATGCAAATATACTACAAACCACACAGCAGTCTACTGGCAGATCCAGATCTGCGGGTTTTGGTTTAGTCTGCTCTCAGCAAAAGCAACATTAACCTTAAATTGTCAAATTCAAATACGGTATATGGGATCAAAAATTAGAAAATGGAAGTTCTGTTTTATACAGATGTATTTAATACCGTTTCCATGATACTTTGGACACAGTATATGTGTTATCTTGAGGCAGAAAAAAATGGGGTTTTTTTAAGCTTGCTTTTTCATACCAGTAAATAGTGGCCAGAATCCTGTTGAAGAAAGCCTAGAGTGGAAAGGCAGTTGCATAAGCACTTCCCTACTCCAACAGATGCTCCTTCACAAGCTGGCTCTCACACTGGTCGTGAGACTGGGTCCACATCTAGTTTAGAGGACAGAGCCTGCTGGAGGGAGGATGGAGAAACACTCTTCAAATGCTTTAATGTAAAAGTTTTTTCTCAATAAATCAGCACCAGATTTGGCACAGATATAGTACACAGTCTGTTCTTGCTCTTTGCCAAATTTGGGGAAGTTTGAGGAAAAACCTAAGCCATTTTCCTTCGTGGAAACAAGCAACCTTAAACATCCCCAGATTTAAAACAGATCTGTAAGATTGTGGCAAAAAATAGCATGAACCCAAGATTAGAACTGCTTACATCATTATCAGATTTTATTTTGTTTTCCATTAGTATATCTGAAATATTAAACGTAATATTATATCCTATTGACTAACAGCTGTATATTTGGGAAAAAATATGTGCCCGTTTTCCTCTAGTTTGCAATCTAATTTACAGTGAATTTATTTGTCACATTTCCCCAAAATGCTCAAGGTAATTTTTATTTCCACCCATTCTGAAATCATTTTGAAGATTTGAGACATCAAATCAGAAACGAAACTAAAGCAACAGGCTGGTTTAAGCAGCAACAGAAGCCTTGGAAAAACTGAGTCTGTTAAAAGCGTCTGTGGAGAACTCTGTGGCCAAGCCGTTTTAGATGCTGTCCTGTGTTCAGTTAAGACCAACAGAAAGGCTTTATGATTTGGCATACGTCCTGCCAAATGTCATGAAAATGGAAGAGTGACAATCATTGGTGGAGCTGTTCTGCTGGTGAAGGTGTAGCAACAGAGGGTGAAGCTGTGGGTTGAACATGAACCTATACCACATCCTGTGCTTCTTCAGACATCAGCTATGCCACCAGTGCAGGATCATTAGCCCCCATATCTGACACAGTAGATTTGCATCAATTGAAATAAATTATTAACAAGGGGGAAAGAACACAGAGGACAGTATACCCATGTTGATGATCACCTTCACCTAGGGATGTATGTTGAAGAGTGTCTTCAAGGTTATGAGTTCAGTAACTCGATCCGTGCTACCCGCATGGCAGCATTATCATCATACATTATCTGATTGGTACATCCTACTGATGTTCAAACTGAGAGGCAGCTTAGAAAGGACTTTGTGGTGAGAAGGAATATTCTTTTTCATAAAAAACTGAGGCACTTTGAAAATCAAGCATTAAAAAATGTAACAGTACAGTCCTGCATATGTTTATTCAGAAGTAAGTGCCTTTCAGTGTAATGGTATATATTGCAATCACAATCTGATAAAAACAGACAATGTACGTTGCCCAACACTCAACCAAAAATAATGGTTGATCTTTCTAGTTTAATCGCAAGCATAATTGTGTGGGTGAAGCCTCTGAATGCACACGTATCATGCATTGATATGTGACCTTAAAAGCAACCTTCAGAATCATTGTCCAATGAAATTCACTGCTAAATTCTTTCCTACTCCAGTCACAGCGAATGTGGAAAACATGCTTTTAACACACCCATGGCAGTAAGTAAAGCAAAACATGACATAGCAGACATGCCATTATTATCACCCTACCTGATGATAAGAAATGAGTTAGTTAAAAAATCCTAATTAATTACTCCAACCTAGGGCCACCAATGTAAATGCTCCTCCTTCTCATATGAATGGGAGGCACATTAGCTGGTGATGTTACTGTGCAACGGAATAAATCAACGTTCTTCAAGGCAATTCTAAATAGGGTCTGTGAGAACAAAAGATGCTAACTTTGAAACTGGACATCAGATCACCCCCAGATTGGGCACAAATGTAGCAGACAGTCTGATCTTGCTCTTTGTTAAATGTGTGGATGTTTGAGCAAAGGGTTTTTGAAGTATAATTTTTCTAAAGAGCAAAACCATTTCCCCCATGTGGAAACAAGCAAACAAATATTCCCAGATTTAAAGGAGCTCAAACAAATTTAAAAGACCTTAACCTGAAAGAGAATGGTTGGCCCCAACCATGTTTTTTAATTTGGAAAGAATCAAGATTGCAGGGGCTGAAATATTGATCTTCAAAAAAAGTGTTTCAAAAGGGATAAACATCTCCTTTGTTATAAGACTGAGCAAAAGTATATACAGTACATTGTTGTAGCTTTGTGGTCAGGAAGAGAAATGTTTGGAGGACAATAAAAGGTCACAGAAGCAGTCAAAAGACAGATATTCTTTGAAGAGTAAAAAGAAAACCACCAACCGAGGCTTGCTTTAATGAGATTTTCTTTGAAGAGTAAAAAAAAAAAACAACACCAACCGAGGCTTGCTCTAAAAGAGTGACAGTGCTCCAGAGGGACATTTTGCCATATATCTTTACAAGTCAGCATACAATTTTGTAAGCATATTCAAGGTATTTCTGCATTACATTTGGAAGGAATCCAGGTTGCAGGGGCTGAAATATTGATCTTCAAAAAGGGCCTTTCAAAAGGGTAAAACAGTTACTTGGTTATAAATTGAGCATACATGGAGTACGCTTACCAGCAAGAGCTTTGCATACTAGATACATTACTACATCTTCACGAGCAGAGAAAGGAGATGTTTAAATGGCAATTTAAGGTCACAGAAACAGTCAAAAGAGAGGCTTTCTTTGAATAATTTTTTAAAAGACTTGTTTTTTAAAAAAGAATGGAGACATAATCCTCCAGGAAGGGGTCCATGTCACCATGTATCTCCAGGGAATTAACCATACAATCTTGTATATTCAACGTATTTTGAAACAGTCAAAAGAGAGGCTTTCTTTGAAGAATTTTAAAAAAGACTTGTTTTTTTAAAAAGAATGGAGACATAATCCTCCGGGAAGGGGTCCATGTCACCATATATCTCCAGGGAATTAACCATACAATTTTGTATATTCAACATATTTCTGCATTACAAAAACACAGAGCAGTTGTGTTTGTCCCAGCCCAGAGTGCTTTCAGTAAACTTTCTCTCAGGATTTCTGAAACCAGGCTCTTGAGACAAGTCTTCAAAGGAGAAATCAGCTTTAGGCCTGGAGCAATCTGATTCTGTCTTGTGCTCACTACCATTCATACTTGCCAGAAAAACAGCCCTGACAATCGCTTTGTGCTTGTGTGAGGAGTGTTTAAGTGATATTTTAAAAAGAGTCAGTTTCTGATATTTTTCTTTTTCTTGTCACTTTGTGAGTAGCTATGAGCACAAGAGGGTATCCTGTGGACCATCTTGACTGCTGCCAGTGGTGTTGTCAACATTCTGTCCGCCCTTTGCTGTGTAAACCTTGGCATCTTTTTTTCCTGTTGGCAATACAGGCACAATATTATGCACCAATATTGGGCCATTTCTTGACGTTTTGAATCATGGATACAGAAGCATGATATCCCACATTCATAAACTGGAGGTGCTTTTTTTTTAAAGAATTGGCTCTAATGGTTCGTCACTAGATGGCACCAAAGCTGTTCCAACTTGTGGATGGTGTCAGCAACCCCACTTGAGGCCTTGCCTGGAGGCATGAGCTTTCACTCATGACTTGAGTACTGTATTTAATATTCAAAAGCTGGCTTGCTACCAAGTTATCCTGTTGTGTTTTCTGTTTAAACTGGGAGGCTATTAGTAGAAAGCTGAGTATAATCCAATCAGCCATATGCTTCTTCTACAGGAAATACAGTACAGACCTTTAAAACTCATAGGTTGTGTGATCAGGAGCAACCTGTTGTTTTCTTTCTAAACGAACCAATATTGCTGTGAAGATGGCAGGGATGGGGACTTAAGAGTCGCAGTCAAGTCAAGCATAAGTAGCACTGGTGATTTGACTCGGTTTGGTTTGGTTTTTCAATGACTCAGACTCAACCCATGACTCGGAACCCACCCACCCCCTCCCTGTCTTTCTTCTGGGGGAGGAGGAAATATTGCTTTTAATTGGGACTCGGACTTGGTACCAAAGACTTGGACTCAAACTTGGGACTCAGACTCAAAGATTTGCCATATTCTGGGCAAGGACACACTCCAGTAATGCATCTTGAGAATCTCAGCTTCTTATTCTTGTAAATGTATTCAAAGGAGCAAGTGTCTAGTTTTTGTGGCTGTGTGCGAGACAGGCGATGTGCGTGGGAAATCTCAAGAGCTGGCAGCTTGTCTTTCCGCTGAAAGGGCTCTTAGATGCATTTACACATAGTCCATAAAAACAAGGCAGTCCTTGCTGCAAGCTTATACTTAGAATAAATTGCAGTTTGAGTAGACTAATTTGAATCCATGGGACATATAGAAGAGGGGAGTCACCAAAACCTCATGGATTAAATAGACCTACTCTGGAGCAATTTACTACACTATGTAACAGGATTTTGGCT